GGGTGCTGAGATGGCAGCAATCTCATTTGCGGTCATAGTTGATAGTGATTCACGAGCGATACTGACGATAATGTCAACATCGTAACTATCAATGATGCCCTTGGATTGACGGATGGTGTTGATCTTATCCTTGACTACCCAAGGAATGGCATCCAGGAACAACTTAGCCAACAAGTAATCGGATGGGGCTTGATCCAGGGATCGACGACGCAAGTCAGTAAAACGATCAAGAAAGGCCTTCACGTTTTCACCGGGCAAAAGTTGAATGCTCAACAAATCAGACGCACAACGTTGACGTTCTTCCAATACGCTAATGCCATAACGAGCCTTGATAGCCGACTTGAAATCATTCCACGATGCAGGAGCAGTGCAAGCAGAAGTGAACGAGCCGTACCAAGTACGTTGTTCTGGAGACAGCATAGGTGGTACTAAGCGAGCATATTCCTTGTCGAAATCCATCTTGTAAGCGAACATGACATCCTCAAACTTCAACAGACAAGCGTCGACTGTAGGAAATATAGGGCTTTTGGGGTCGAATTCATCCATACCAACCCACTGAAATGCAGGTAAGTTGTTGGGAAAGAAAACCGGAACAGAGGCGCTCTTGTTGGATTTGACTCCATCGACTGAGGATGGGCCAAACGAAGCAGCAGCCGAAGAAACGAGGTTATCATTTGCAGTAGCTTTGGATGCAAGCAAACAATCTCGAATCTGTATGATACTTTGAATGGACGTATTCAACTGGATCAACCGAGCTAGGGCCTGGGCTCTGGCCTCCTCACTTTGCTCGAGGAGCAAGGTCGTAGAGAGAAGCTGAACTTCGGCGAGCTGATTGTCAACAATTAGCTTCAACTGATCAGTGCGACCTTGAAGGTCCACATCACTAGAAGATGAACTAGCAGAGGAAGGGGGATCGAGGTCCATCGCATCACTAGCAGTAGTAGTGGGAGCTTCGCCAGCTTGACCACCCAATTTCTGAGACGTTTCAGCGAGAAAAAACTGAGAAGGGCCAGTAATATCTACAGCCTTGGTGGCACTGGCGTCTGAAGGACGCAGCTCAGTGTTTCCAGCAGGCTTAGATTCGGAACTGGGGGATGTGGTGGTACTTTGAGCAGACATCAGAGTATACAAAATTGAGAGGTAGTAGTAGTAAGAGTAGTAGTAATGATACAATCAAGGTTTTGATTAAAAAAAATGATGAATTCGTAATAATAAGTCGATGATAATAATCAGTTGTCAACTGTATCTAAAACGAAAGCAAAGAGCTTCTTTATTACAGGGCATCTAGCTTGCTTAAATATGGTAGATCCCTGGTCAATGACTACTACGTTGAGATGGTATATAAATAGCAGGCCACTGGGGCCTTATGGATTGTTGGTATAGCTTGTTGAGAGGCCACCTAAGTCGGTATGTTTCATGTAGTGTAGGTGGATCTCGATATTTTGACATTGGGGAGATTGAATGTATTGTAGTTCCTGAGGCACCTGTGCACACACAATTGACTGGACTTGTAAACATAGATGCGATGTGATACGATAAACATCATCTATGCTGCTACACTGTAAAAGGTGGCTTGAGGAGAAAGTGAATGTAGCCTAAGATGCATGCTTGTATGCAACAGTTATAGTATATAAGAAGGATCATCTACCTGGCCAGTAGAGAGACTTCAGTTGATTTTACACCTGTCAGTTTGATAATAAAACATACCTTTATCAAGTTGACATTACTGTTTTTTTTATTCTTTTTTTCCATGAATTTTAGTCTATTATCAAGCCTCAAATTCCACAACCACGATTAAACGAATATGTAACAACAACAAAATAGAAGCGACACCAATTGAGTAAGCACCAACATTGATTAGCAATACACCAAATAGAGACCACATCGACTAGAATAACAGTATCAACGCACCACCAAGAGATAACATACAGTTTTACAACAATTATATGAGTGTGTCAATGCACCAGAACACCACACCAACGAGGAGTAACCCTTCAAGTAAGACATAGTAGATAAGTTAGAGAATTATACCTTGTGCAGTGAAATCAGGTTTAAATAGATTTCACAAAAAAAAATAAAGCAATAGTAAAATACAATAGAAATCAACTGTATTTTATTTTGTGTATAAAATGAACTGAAGATCCTGGAATTGAGTAAAAAAAAGAAGAGTATTTATACATTTGCATCTGGCTTGTAGGATTAGTGATGATAGAGAGCAATAGGTGCTGCTATTGCGATATCTGGCAAATGTTGTTGATGTTTGATTTAAAGTGGTAGTCAATGCAGGAGCACTGGCCATAAGGGTCGATTTGAGTAACCTTGATGGGCTTGGGTGAGCTATCGTCATAGCATGATTTAATGTAACCTTGATGGTTTAAAGTGTGATGTTTGTTATTGAAGCATGGAATCCTTTATCTGGGATATTGTGCAACTATGGCAGCAGGGCATAGTTGTCATATTTGAATATGCTTGTTATTGATTTAATTCTATTTGGATAAAGATACCATCACCTATTACGACCATCATGGGTGTGATTGAATACACTGTGATCAGGAGTGATTCATTCACACGATGTGCGATATAAGCGTGTATCTTTACTTTAGTATTTTTAAATGGGTTTTTGATGTACATTTGAGCGCTTTCATTAATAGATCCAAATAGCATGAATTTGAATGAGTGCTATTTGATGAACTTTGGTTTTCAATTAAGTTGCGTTTGGGTGGCTATTTCATTACACCTTGAATCCACCATCTTGAGCCTTTCCCATATACGGTATATTGCCTTTTTAGGAAATCGAGATAGAGCCAAGTAACCAAGAAGAAAATACACACGTTTCATAACATGAAAGCGCGGTTGGTTAAGTGGTATAATCTTCGCCTGCCACGCGAAGGGCCGGGGTTCGATTCCCCGACCGCGCATTTTGCACCCTTTTCAAAACGGTAGTGTGTGTAGCCTGATGTTGTCAAGTAAACACAGATCTTGTGTTTATACTTTTATCGCTACTCATGACAAGGCTGCAGCGTATCTTTTATCGCAACAGATCAATGTTGTTACTGCTGTTAGAACTGGAATAGAATAAAGTTGTGATAATAAGTAAATAAACCAAAACGCATATCTGACTACTACAGTGGTGTTATCAGAAGAATAAAGTATTTTTTACAAAATTTCTTCAAGAGAGCTTCCAAAATGTATGAAAGCTAACTTATGATTTATTTATACGAGTTATGATATGGTATCACTAACATGTGTAGGAGTAACATTCACTACGCAGTTCAATCATGTTCTAAGTTCTGTCGCTGTCATAACTCTGCTTAGAGGAGTGTATCAATTTTTTTTTTTTAAAAAAAAAAAAAAACCTCTACTTGTAGCTCATAAAATATAAGATTTTGAGCAAATTTATGAAGGGAACGTATAATTGGTACTTCAAGCCCTTGCATCATAATGAATCTAACGTAGAGCTATCGAATAGTCTTTGTTTTGTGCGAATCCAGTGAGTATTTGTTGAGATATGGTCAAAAAAGGGTATCATGCAAAATGGATTTTTCTTCAAAATCTGCCTGTGATAGCAAGCGAAAAAACTGGGTGACCTTTTTTTTGTCAGGACAATATTGTCGATATTTCATGATAGAGTTATGTCAGAGCTTCAAGCAATAGCTCATTCGATAGGAAATTTTTTAGTCTACAATGTTTAGTAATGTTTAACGAAATGTTTTGATAACAGATACTGATTAATCTTTAGAAAACAGTCAAAAAATTGCAAAAACAATCGTACCAAATATCAGGTAAACAATGTACACCAGAGACTTGATATAGATACCATTGTATTCTCCTTTGAATTTTCTGCAAGTTTCATATAAGTTTGAAGGGGTGGTTACTATCAAGAAACGCGTAATTTGAAGGTCGATAGATTTCGGAATCCTATGGATCATCATTCAGAATATAAGAAGTTGAAGCTCCGTTGACTTTCTGCATGTGTACACCACACATGTATGTATTTGACCAAGCATTTTAAAGATCGGAGCGTACGAAAAGGGCCATATTAACTTGCTGGTTTCAAGTTATCAATAGATACTTGACATAATGAAGAATCTTGTTTTTAAGATTAGACAGTTGTAGCTTGCTTTGTTTGATAATAATAAGATTTGCAATATATAGCATCCATATTAATAGCGTCTCAAATGCTGACTATCCCATAAACTGGGCCCTTTACAACACCTAAAAACGGTGTTCAATCTTCAATTTTTTCCATCATCAAATCTTGTTAATCATATTGCAAATGGCGCGACCAAAGGCCATTATATGCTGCGGATGCGAAAATGCCGTGCTTGGTTTTGTATACGAGTATGTAAAAGCAAAATCATGGGGTCGTTATTACTCAATGGAGAAAACGCCTACTAGCAGCTCTGAACATCCTAGATACAATTTGAGGTACTCTTAACTATTTTTATTTTGATAGCGTGAGATGTTGATGATTTATGTTTTGAGAATATGCCATGGATCAGTATGTAAAACAAATGCTGTATACTGCAGTTTGTGTTTTTTTTAGAATTCTCTGGTTAAGTTAATCATGGCTTATAGAGCACTTGTATTATAGCGCATCATTATGCTGTAATCCATTGGATTCTGATATATTCAAGAGCATCTAAATGGTGCAGCACTGATGTGATAATGCACCATAGCCATTGAAGAATCCGAATGAATATTGGTCAGTGTATCCTTGTTTTATTTTTTATTTTTTTTTTTGCAAGGCAACATGGTGTTATTCCTATCGTACTCAAAGTTGAAGAGGTAATATTGATAAAACGTATATACGTTATTCAGTTTGATTGATTGGAGTTTTTTTTTTTTTTTTTTAGGAAGAAAGTATTACTGAAGCATCACAACATGCATTCACAATAGTAGTAGATGTTATAGCTTTGCACGTATAGAGTATAGTACAACAAAAAAAGTTTATTCAGAACAAGGCAAAATCCGAAGTTGAAAGAAACGACCCACGTAGCTTATATACCAACAAGCATCATCAATATATAACCCAATGTGACAATGCAGAGCATAATCAACATACTACACGGGACGCCGTTCTTGAGGAAATCTTTAGTTCTAAGATAAGGCTCACCTATGATGTTTTCTTGCGAGATGGCTGTCATGTTGGGGAATCCAGATACTGGTAAGCCCATTGCCGCAGAGCAAACAAAAGCAGTTCCCATCACAAGCAAACGAGGATTTGGATCGGCCAATTGAGCACCAATTTTTGCGACAATAGGCAAAGCGATCAATGCAGCAACAGTATGACTGATGAATGTAGCAATCACCAACACCAAACAGCAGAAGATAAACAGCACTTCAAACGTCGAAAATCCCATGACATGATCTGAGATACCGAATGCAATGGTATGCAACAGCCCTGAACTTTCGACGGCCTTTCCCAGCGCAATACCACCCATAGCCAAGACAATGACGTTCCATAAGAAATTATTGAACTCATCTTTTGTCAAGATGCCAGTACCAAAGAAAGCGATCAAGGGGATGATAGCAATGACACCCATATCACCCAGAGTATCGCGATACGTACGAGCAATGCACCATAGCGTAATGGTAAATAATGTGACACAGACGATAAAGAACTGAGTTGGGGTCATTCTCAGAGACACTTTGTTTGTTGTTGTTGTGATCTCATGTCCATCATTCTTGATTTGATAAGACTGCAATAACCAAAGCCAAACAATGCAGTTACCCAATAAGCAAAGTGGCACCGATACGCAAAACCAGTCTGTCCAAGAGGGCGGAGGCGACATGTTCTGGATGGCAATGACATTCTGTGGTGAGGCAATAGGAGATGCAATGCCACCCAAATTGGAGGCCAATGTGATGCCCATAATCAAACACGGACCAAACGGAGACCCCACAGGCAGTGCACGAAGGATAGGCTGAATCAGTGATAAGCACAAAACCGGTGCTGCCACATTACTGATCCACATGCTCGCCATGGAAGCCACCAGCATGTTCACCAGAAGCACGCGAGATGGGCGGGTGCCAGCTTTAGACAGAACAAAGGAAGCCAATGCTTTTGCGATACCGTACTTGTTGAGTGCAGCAGCGATAGCGAATCCCCCCAATAACAGCATAATTACCGGTGACAGCATAGATGCAAACACAACTTTGGAAGCTTCCATTGCGCTTAGCCTTTGATACACAATAGTTCCATCTGCAGTTTTGTGTTCTGACCGAATCACTTGCAAAACAATGACTAAAAATGGGACCAGTAAGGCTGTTACGAACAATGGCATCAGCTGAAATACATAGTTTTATGTGAGTTGCAAGGATTACATACATGCCTTGGTGCAGTTGTATTTACCTCTATGGCCCATAAAAAACTAGAAAGCACCAGAATAGCAAAACACCTGCGTTGTTCAACGTGCTCAAATAGGGAGCTGTTGAGCAGATACATGAACAATGCCAAGCTTAATGCCAAGTAGATCCATGTCTTCACTTCAAACCCTCTCCAGCTGGCATTCGCCTTTTCTTCTTCGACGACAATGTTTGTTTCCCTGCGTTCTCGTCCTATGCACTCTCTCCATACAAGGTTTCTATCATCTTTCAACGTTTCAAGCAAACACATTTTTAAATCCGCTGATTTAGTAGCATGTTCATTGTAAAGCGTTTCCACTTGCTGAATAAGCTGGTTCAAATGCTGAGAGGTAGATGGCTTGAAGGGATACGACTGCAATAAGGTATGGCTGGTATAGGTTTCTGCCAGCTTGGTATTCATGCACTTGTCATATTTCTTCAAAATCTTGGCAAAGGCAGTCTGATTCAGGTACAGGAAAGATTTAAGCTTTGACAAATAAAGGTACAAATTCATCAAGCGTTCGTCTTGGCTGTCATTTTCTTGGTGCTGATAGCAGTTGTGGGACGGTACCATGGTATCCGCAGTAGAGATCTGGCCATCATCTATACTGCAACTGGAAGCGGAAGCAGGCAGTGACAAGTAGGGACTTGTGTTTGTACTTGGCTCATGGATCACAATGACAATGGGGCTTGTTGATGGCGCTAGTATTTCGTCCAATTCAGCGTTGGCTTCAGATTCTCTTTCAGTATAGAATTGAGTGATGTTTGATAGTGAAGTATCCAAAGCTTTAACAAATGTTGAATTGTCATTGTCATTGGTTGATAGCAATGCTGTGTGTTCAGTCAGAGATGCCAATTTTTTCTTTTCAATCATGTAGATCAGTGATTTCAGAGAGGAATAGCTATGGTAATGGCCGTTAGTGCACATGTCACGTAAGTTACAGAGCCAGAAACACTCACGGCAGGTAGCTATCGCACCACTCGGGCACAGCATTGAATTGAATATAGCGAGCAAACTTCATTTCAAGCTACAAAATAAGAAAAAGGGTAAAATCAGAGGGATCCGCATGTTTAAATAGCAATTCTTTTATTTGTTGTGCTCAAGGTTTGTTATAAATCTTTTCCTCTTTTCCCTGCGATTGTGCTGCCCATCTTGCAGCATTAAATAAGAAATCACTCAATCTGCTCATATGTAACATCAAGGAGAAGGGGCGAAATGTCATATTATAGTTAGAGAAAGAAACACAAACAAACAAACAAACAAACAAACAAACAAACTCTATAGAAGTTTCTTACCTGTTTAAAAAGATACCAACTGAATCATCACAGAGCTGGTCTCGAACCAGAGGCTGAACTGTTCTCTCTGCACGGCGACATACTGAACGAGCCACATGCAAACTAGCGCTTGATTTACCTCCACTGGGCAAGATGAACTTTGTCAGTTTGGGCAGCTGCTGATCGTACTCATCAATCCAGTCCTCCAGGGCCTTGACATGCTGCCCATCCGCATCAAATCGAGTGCGGGCTGTTTCGTACTGTTTTAGCATGTCATGTCTTCAACTGCATGTACACACCATGTTCTATACCTAATCGAGCTTCATTGGATTGCTCACGAGGTGTCGCAAGGTTAGAGCCTACATCCTGTAACAGGCATTGAATCTGCAATCACTTTGAATATCATGCCATCATCTATAACATCCTGCTGTGCTTTGTACCTTGATTAGCTTTTCCACCAATTCATTTCCCCAATCATTGTCTTCCAAAAACTCCATAGCGAGTCTATTTTTGCACTGTTATATTACATGCGCTCATCTTTCAGCATACAACATACCCGATATTTGATGTCAGTTCATCCGTTGTACCTATAAGCAATCAACAAGTTTTCGCTTTTGAACGCGCAGTTACTAAATTTACCTAATGCTTCAAAGATCTCGTCATCCTTGGCTCTACGCTCTCCATTATACAAGCTGGAAGTGCCTTGCTTTGCTAGTTAATCCAACTGAACTGTGCCTACTTGACGATCATATAGAGCATCTCACCTTTGTCCCCGGTTTTGGTATATATTTTCATTTTGGAAAGGGAAGCCAGGAGAAAATAGTCCCCTCCCCCCCAACAAGCTTCTTTTATTGCTGGCGAACGATCAAATCAAAGGGCGCTTGGAAACGATCATATCAACAGGGAAGATCTAACGCGTGTTTGACCACTTGTATCGAATGTAGAGGCAGTATTTTGCAAATCAATGGCCTGCCAGACAGACGCTAGAAAAGCGAGCGAATTCATCTAGTCTTGTTGACTATGTAACAAGAGAAAACGGAATAAATCCCCAGATGACAGAATGACGAACGACAACGAAACACGATGAAGCTAGGAAAAACCGCTAAAGTGCATATAAAACCACGCAGTTTATTTCTTCTTCTTTTCATCAAAATATTAAGCAGACTGAAATGTCAAGACAAGAGAAATCAGAAAAGCAAAAAATGCTGGACAATGAGTGGTATCATCCCGGCCACAAGGAGCTCTGCGATGACAGACTTCGTTGTCAAGAACTACTGAAGCAATACAATAGCCTGCCTAACAGTGAAGAACGCAACCAGATTGCTCGCACACTCTTTGGCTCATTTGGCGAGAAGGCCTTCATCAACCCTGTCATCAAGTGCGATTATGGCTACAACGTGTTCATTGGAAAGAATGCAGAGATCAACTATGATTGTATATTCTTGGATATTGGTAAAATCAAGATTGGCGACTATGTGTTTATGGGTCCTGGTGTGCACATCTATGCTGTCAATCATCCACTCGATCCTACATTGAGAAAGACAGGTGCTGAAATTGGCAAGGATGTTGTTATCGGTGACAATGTGTGGATTGGTGGTGGTGCCATCATCTGCCCAGGCGTCACTATTGGCGAAGGAACTACTATCGGTGCTGGATCTGTTGTCACCAAGGATATTCCTGCTAATGTGCTTGCTGTTGGTAATCCTTGCAAGGTGATCAAGGAGATCACGCCTTCTTAACTAGCATCTTGAAATAAAAGACGCTGCACACAAATTTGCGCTTAGCTGTAATAATAAATGCTTGCTTTTATTTGGTCTCAGCATGTTACCCACCATGTTAAATAGACAGGAGGGCAATTTAGGCAGCTGTTTGTTATTATTCTCTAGTGTTGCAATGAATCGCCCCCTTACTAGACTCAAAAAACCATGGCCTCACTACATCCAAACCTCCGTATCACACTATTGCAAACGTACAATACCCGTAACATTGGAAAGCGATAGAAGAAATCACACATTATGGTCCAGCGCAGCTATCATCAGCCCTACGACAATAAACGGCACTACTACAGATACAGCATTACCAGCTGTTCTGGCTGCGAATGAGTCTGTTCTGTACAGCATACACGACGCAGGTATGCCGTGGTGGGCTACCATTGTTGCTGGTACTTTGCTGTTGAGAACCACCATGACGTTGCCCATTGCCATCTATCAGCAGCGTGCTATGGGCAAAATGATCAATTTAGCACCTATGATCCAAAGTTGGGCAGAAACACTCAAAGTGCAGGTTGCCAAGGAGAGCAAACAACAGGGCTGGCCATATCAGAAATACCAGCAAGAATTGCAGAAGCAATACAAGCAGAAAGTTAACTCTATCTATTCACATCACGGCTGTGCGCGTTGGAAGATGCTGCTGTTACCATGGGTGCAAATTCCCCTGTTTGTGTCCATGTCGCTGACCCTAAGACATTTGACTGCCTACCCGTTACCATGGTTAGGGCAGACATCCAATTTACCAGCAGAGGGACTATCAGATGGTGGGTTAGCTTGGTTTATGGATCTGACAGCTGTGGATCCAACCATGGTGATACCTGTCATGATAGGTGCTGGTAACCTGATCAATGTAGAGGTACAGTGGATATACGCAGAGATGGAGTATGCTATCAATACTAATAGAATGGGTAGTTGAATGCTTGGTATGCAAGAGCAAATCAGAGCAAAACACAAAAGATTATGACCAATGCATTCCGGGTGCTGTCAGTTGCATTTGTTCCTATAGCAGCCAATGCACCAATGGCCATAGGTCTTTACTGGCTCTCATCAGCATGGTACAGTGTGGTTCAGAACATTGCATTCAAGATACCCAGAGTTAGAATTGCTTTGAAAATGCCTTTATTAAATGTCGCAAAAAAGAACAAGAATATAGAATAAAAACCTAATTGATTATGTAATCCTTACTGTGCTCTATCTGTTTGTTTAGCATAAAGTAGAAGCTAGTTACATTCTTTGGCCACAAGAACTGGATCTCCCCTGCCTGCTTGCTCTGATACCATGATTTGCATCCTGTCGTCCATGTTGTACCCTTGAAATCCTTTTGCAATTGAGTGAAAAACCTTTCTTGCGCATCTTTTTTGGGGTCCATACACTGAATCTTGTTTTTCAGAATGTAATCCAACAATCTGATACCGTAGTCAATTTGGCATTCAATCATCGTGACCACAGAGTTGTGTCCAAGGCCAGATCCAGGGCCAAGCATCATAAAAAAGTTGGGAAATCCATGAATATTGACAGTTTTGTAGGTTTTGGCGCTATTCTCGTCCCACAGCTTGTTTAAATGAACATTGTTGCGTCCGTATACTTGCATCTGTCCCAAAAATCCATTAACATTGAATCCTGTTGCCAAACAAAGCACGTCCACATGCGTTTCCGATCCATCCACGGTGGTGATAGTTTGGCCCTGAACACTGGCAATAGGCGAGGTATTGACTGTAACATTGTTTTGGCACAAGGCTTGCAAGTAGTCGTCAGAGATGCCAATACGTTTGCATCCGGGTGTGATATCCGGTATCAATTTGCTTATGAGATCAGGTCTGCCTTTGGATACAAGCAATTGAGTCATTTGCTTTTCCATTCTCTTTCTAAAGAATTTGGCGAACCACGAATTAGCATCACCCCAAACGCTAAACCGAAGCTCTCGCAGAAAGAACTGATAGGCTCGGTAGATGCGCATCAGGAACGGAAAGAAGCTGAATAAACGCTTGACGAAATTAGGGTAATAGTAGTTGTTGCGAGGAGTGATCCATGTAGGTGTGCGCAGGTAGTTGTGGAGATGGGATGCCTTGGCAGCCAGATGGGGCACAATTTGGACGGAACTACAATGTCTTGAGTACGTCTAATTGCTCCCTGTACCTTGTTGAATTTACCTTGTGCCACTACCAATGATGGCGACCGTCTTGCCTGTGAAATCGTAATCATTATCCCAATAAGACGAATGGATGATTTTCCCTTGGAAAGATTGGAATTCCTGGGGGATATTTGGTACGCGAATGGCTCCTACACCAGAGAAACTGCATACAATCAACACCATGTTTGACTTGGCTTCATATAGTTGCAACTTACATGAAATCATAAAGTCTGGTTTGCGTTTCTTTTGATCCACTCGTCTTCAATTCAATTTCCCATTTTTTTAACTTTTCAATCCAGGAAGCACGAACCACTTCAGTGTTGAACTGTGTTTGTTCATAGATGTGGTACTTCCTGGCTACACTACGCATGTACTCAAATATTTCTTTTTGACCGCTGTACTCTTGGCTCCAATCTGTCTCGACAGATGAGTATCCAGCGCACCAAATCACTCTGTGTCAAACTTACTAGGATTTAATTCGAAACTGAATGAATACAAATGGCTGGGAACATCTGAGGCTGCTTGTGGATACTGATTGTAGTGCCATGTTCCTCCAATGTCTTCAGTCGATTCGAATATATCTGCAGAAAGATTCAGCTTCTTTTTGAGTTGAATAGCAGTGGTCATGCCACTGAATCTATAAGGTAAATTCAAATTAGCTGTCGGCATGATAGATTGAAATGTATAATTGCTTGTTTGTACCCTGAACCTATGATTGCAATGCTTGGATAGGTCATGCTGGATTACTTGCAAGCAAAAGAAGAAAATATAGGCAGAGAAGCCCACAAATGATTTTTTTTTGGCTTTTATATATAACATAATTTCAAAAAATCACTAGAGTTGGTGCAACAGGAAATATTAGTAGCTTGAAAGGTTTGCTGCCAACATTTCCCTACAATAAATCAACTAGTTGATTCATACAGTCAAATTCAAGGCTTGATTTCTATTCAACAGTGCTAGTGCGCTCACAAATGCTTATACACATGTACACTGAATAGCCCTTCAATTATGAATTCTATAAAACTGCATTCATCGCACATGTTAATGTCTGTGTGAATGTGCCACATAATGCTTAATAGTCCTCTTTTAGGGTATAAACTACTTCGCCTGAAAGATTTAGGCTTTGCCCTGAGAAAAATCGATAAGTTGGTGAGATGAAACCAGTGCATTTTCATCATGTAAGCAGAAATGTCAGTCAATCTGCTCTTTCAAAGTTGCATGAATTGCACTATTTTTTTTTTATATTTGATGGCTAACTTTGCCAGAATGCAGGCACTCGGCAAGAGTAGAGGCAATTTTACAGCCAGTGATGCTGTAGATATCATGTAAAGCTATCTCTTGCTTAAATTCCATAGTTTGAATAGATGAAATACTACTACAGTGGCATTTTGCTCTGGCTTTCGATTTAAAAGTTTTTAAAAGAATCAAAAACGGGCTGCTTATCCTAATGATTACTCCAGCGTATATGCCAACTTATCTAGCTGTCTCAAACGCTACTTTTCTCTCACTCTGTCTTCTTCAGCTTGAAAATAATCTGCTTGGGAGAAATTCCTTGGCTTATAGCTCTTCATTATAAACAATACTTCTTTTTCGTCGTTTATAAACATGCCATAGTTTGGCGTCACGATGTATCTCATTCCATACAAGAAATAAAGTAACGGACACAAGCTTTGGGTACCTCATTAGGTGCTCGTGTTGATTATAATGTCACAACGTGGAACAAGGTTGATTCAAAATGACGTACTTCAAACGATCATCAAGTCAGCAACAATATCTTGTAAATCAAGAGGAAAACGCGTAATGAATAGAAAGTTTGATATTTATTAGAAAATTGTTATCAACATCATGTAGTGGTTGTATTAGTTGGTACCCTACATTTAAATATGTCAATAAAACTCTTACTGCACAGATACTGAGCCTTACCATCATTTTTACAAACTCCTTGTAGTTGATCTTTCCATCACCATCGATATCAGCCTCCTTGATCATCTCGTCAAGCTCTTGGGAGGACAATTTTTGACCGAGATTTGTCATGACCGAGCGAAGTTCATCTTGTGTGATACTGCCATCTTGATCCTTATCAAAGACCTTGAACGCTTCCAGCAAATCATTCTCTGTTTCGTCATTGCCCTTCATTCTATATCCACATTAGCGCTACACGAGCAAGTGATCTTTAACAGTTATATACCTGGACATGATGGTCAAGAATTCGTTAAAGTCAATACGGCCATTGTTGTCAGAATCGACATCATTGATCATATCTTTCAATTCTTCATTGGTGGGATCTTGGTTTAAAGAACGCATAACTTGGCCGAGTTCTTCTGCATCGATAGCACCATCCCCATTCTTATCAAATAAGGCAAAGGATTCGCGATACTCGCTAATTTGTTGTTCGTCAAGTTGGTCAGACTACGAGACAATACAGTTTAGCGAATGTTATTTATGAGAAAGAAACGACATACCATGTTGGTTTTCAAAAAGTGATGAATACGTAAAGTAAAGGCAGATTAATGGGTCGATTAAATGATGATGAGCTTATGATGGCGTTGACGAAACAACACGCTTTTCATGGGAGTTTTAACCTTATTGCGCCCTCTCATCCATATGAAGCAAAGGCCCCAGCGTCCTAGTGGATAAATGCATGAATTAAAGCCTCAAAGAAATGTTGAGTCATGAGACGTCGACGTAAGTAGCAGTGGTGCCATCAAAATGAGATTGAATTTGCTGAACATTTACACTGCATTCGCCTCTCCTAGAACAAGTTGCAAATATGTGCTCTCTCCTTTCCTGAGTCAAAGGCACTAGATGTCATGCAGATCATTTCTGGCACGATTTGAATGTCCGTTCCCTAGCAACCAGGCACGGTTGCTATGGTAGTCAGCCAAAAACAGCAAATCAATTATGATACTGAGACGAAATCAATGACAACATCGTCATTGCATCTTAAAAAAAAGCCAAAAGAGGCATATTTAGCAGCAACTGCACTAATCAAACAAAAAAGAATAGGAAAATATATTGACAAAATAATACGTGTGTTATGCTACCAAGGAGGAGGATCTGATTTTTTCTTGAATTTTATTATCTCTATAATAATATAATGATGTTCTTGTGCATATTTAAAGGTTGGAAAACAGATATATGAGTTGGGTATTTACATTTTTTCATTAGTCGGTATTTTGAGTGATGTTTGTGAAAAGAGTGATGGATTGTGCTTAATTTTCAATATAGAAAAGAATGAGTGAGGCATATTATATTGTCGACAAATACTGATAAGTTGAGGCATGAATGAATGAATGAGAGACGTTGAATGTTTAGAAGGATTTGGCGGTATTCGTTGGTTGATATGGAAGGCTGGAGGGATCCTCATCATCTGAACTATACAGGGAAGAATTATTCGAAAGTAATTGATAGCGCATGTTCATTTGCTGTTGCTGTTGTTGCTGTTGTTGGTATTGAAGCTGAAGTAGCTGTTGCTGCTGCATATATGGAGGTGATACATCACTGTTGTGGTTACCATCGTACAAGCCTTGGAAGTTATTATTAGGATGGACAAAACATCCAGGACAGCTGCATGATTTGCCATAGTAACATGTCACGACTTGAGTCACTGCTGGCTTTTCCTTGGCTACTTCCACCCTCTGTTCCTGATTTGAAAGTAGATTAGAGAGTGGCGTAATCGTTATAACAACTGATTCTCCTTGTTGTTCCACAATGGAAGAGGCTGAGGAACAATTTAAATGAGGAGCATAGCTACCGCAAAGCATTTGCTGTTGTTGCTGCTGCTGTTGTTGTTGTTGTTGGGATTGAGAGGTAGATGAAGATGTTGTAGTTGATCTCGTCATATCAATGCCTGCTGATGCTCTTGTGGGATTGGTTTGTTTGTTGCTATTAGCATTATTATTAGCAGCAGCAACTGAAGACGCAGCACTGTTGTTCTCCATCAATACATTGTTCAAGAGTGTTGTCAGTTCATCAGGGTCTGTCATCATAAATCTGCCCAATTCATCAGAGGATTGGCCTTGAAATTCACCGTTGCTCACCATGTCTGCATGAATCGAATTTGGCGAATAAGATAGATTAGATGAGGCTGTTGATGAGGCAGAGGAAACATTGTAACCAGCTGTTCCTGTCATGGATGCAGATAAATTATTGCTATTCACTACTGCGCTTTCGGATTCCATCTCGGTGATTTGTCGATACTGATCATTCAACAAGAACGATTGCATGTCCATCATTACATCCTCTTGTTGATTTACCTGAAAGGGCATAGTTGTTGCTGATACGGTTGTCATAGTAGTATTGGTAACAGGGTGAGAAATAGTAGATCGTCTGCTGTTGTTGCCGCTATTAGTAGAAGATCTTCGGGAAAGAGACGATCTGCGTCTAGGACTCTTTGTTTGTCCACCCAAAAACCGAAGGCTGGACGAGCTATGTGATTTCTGAAAGTTGTATAATCCTGGCGCGTTTTCTTCCAGTATCATGCCCCGAGATCTGACAGGTAAGATAGGAGCATTGTCTGATGGATGTTGCTGCGAATTTGATGTGCTCCAATTCTCTTTTGTAAAAAGTACCTTTGTGGCTGTCTCATGACAGGTACACTGAGAAGGAGGATGAGGAACAGCAGTGCCTTCAAGAAGAGATGATGGAATGACAGGGTCTTGTTGGCCATCGATTTGAATCAGATCTGAATAGGAAAGGCTACTATTACCATTTTGATCTTCTAAAAAAAAGGATTTGGCTGATGGGCACCGATAACATGGCTGCTGCTTTTGCTGCTGTTGTGTTGTGGCTGTGTTTTCAACATCTACGTTAATTATATTAATTAGCATTTATTTGATCAAATTCATATAGAGAAGACTTACTTTTAGTTTTGTCAGTGCATGAACATTTAATGTGAATTTGTCTTGTTTTTCTGAGATCTCTGCAAAATGAGCATTGAGTTACTGGTCTTCCCTTTTTGCGAATTTCAAACAGAGGCCGTTCAATATGATTACAGTTAGAAGATCGATGACCCTACGTTGATCATGTTCAGATTAGCATGCAATGGATTTCAATTGGAAAAAAGTGAGTACTACCTTGACACATGTATTACATGCGAATTTTATGCCGTTAATAAGCATGTGTAAATAAAACCAATCTTTTAGAATGAGATAGACAGAGAGAGAAGGGTAAAGAAAAAGTGAGGCCTTTTTTTTCGTATGTGATATATATATAAATATCTGTATATTAAGGAGAAGAGTGAAGGGAAAGCTTTTGAAGATGAGCGCTATAGAATTTCAAATAATGAATCTCCCCCCATAAAAAAAAGACAGGTTGTCTTTTCTTCCTCTAGTTGTTTGCTTTTTCGCTGCTTTTGTTGAATTAATCTCTTGATAATTTGATTAACTATATCAATACGTATTAGTATATATGCTTTGTTTTGGTATTTTTGCATTCAATAGTATTGAAAACGGCATTTAAAGAGAAGAAATGATGTTTTACAGGAGCATGATTGGAGATGTGCAAATCCCATCAACCCTTTAAAACCAACATTTGCACCGTCTTTTTCGGCTGTTTTCGCAGAGTGCATTTACCTTGATAGTAGAGAAAGCAACCAGATGAGTGGAAAGGGGATCAGAATATACGAAAAAAAGAGAGAAGGAAAGAAAGAGGAGGAATTCAACAAGACAATTATATAAGACATCGAAAAAATGTCGCCGTTCTGCGTTCTCTGGCCGTCTGTAGATCCCAAATGATATGATGTTATAATTGAATGTTGTGTATATAAAATGAAAGCTCCCTTTTTCAAGATATTTTAATTAGTTTGCGCAACATTATCCTCTGTGCTTTTAAGAGGACTTGCGGTATTCATTGTACATGAGAGAGGGTTATAATCGTCGTTGGCTAAAATCACTCATTTATTGCGCACTAAAAAGGTCCCCCAATAAACCTCCCCTAATGGACTTCTTCAATAGCGATTTAGGCGCAATTTATTATTTTACGCACCTGCTTCCATGCCTAAAGAAAAAACAATCCATCTCTACTAATGCTCCCTATTTCTCTTTTCAGGCAGATTCTGGCTGCACGTGTAAATTCAATGTTTTGGTTACTACACCACATCATTTGAGTCACATTGATGGCTGTGTGTGTGTGTGTGTGTGTGTGTGTGTGTGTGTGTGTGTGTGTGTGTGTGTGTGTGTGTGTGTGTGTACGTGCTGCTTACCTGAAACTTCTGCACACTGGGCTGCTGCTGGCTTCTACTCGCTGCGATCCACACACATTTGCTGCTGTGTTGATGTGACGAGTAATAAAGCTGAAATTACCACGATTAAACTATGAAATAGTTTATATTAGCTTCTCCCCCTCCCTCATATACACCGTAAATCACATAAATGCAGTTGACTCTGGAAGGCTTGCAGTATCTACTGACTGAACTATCAGCTTTTGTACAGTTTTTTGTGGCTGTGTTGGGTTTAATAGCTATATTGTTGCCGTTCTTTCAGAGGCTCTCTTTCTACCATGATGATACAACGTACATTTTACCAAATTATATCACTTCATTTCTGCATAAAACGCTCATTCAACTGGGTATTCCACAGTTAATGATGTACATCAGACCACAGGAGTATTATGACAATCTAGCCAAAAGATTAAACGGTAATCGAGTAGCTACATACAAGATAGAAGTATAACTAATACTAGTACCATGACAGAAAGCGAATTGGCAAAGACTTCAAAAGTTGCAGACATATGCCTAGCATCTAGCATTGAAGCAGATGACGACTCTTCACATGTATCCGGCCTAGTCAACACAGGAAATACTTGTTTTATGAACTCTGTATTACAAGCACTATCCTCCTTACCTCACTTGCACAATTATCTGGAACATATCAGTCATATTGCCACAGGAGTGCCATTACCAGTAACTCGATCTCTCTTGAAAACTATCCGATCACTAACCAAACCCTTGTACCGTCGCTCGTCTTTTCGCCCTGTGGATATTGTCACTGCATTATCGTCCAACAGACGAATTATCAGTCGCGAACAGCAAGATGCACAAGAATTTTTTCAGCTAGTGTCTAGTGCAATGGACACAGAGGGACAAAGGGTTGCCAAAACAGAACAATTGGGCGGTGGGTTAAAGGGTCTGCTGAATCAAACGACTTTAAAAGGTGTCATTCGACCTGAATGGATACAAAAGGTATCATCTCATTCCAATACACAAGACAAGATGGCGATGATAATTGTGAATGATCATTTGGAGAACCCGTTCACGGGGCTATTGGCGAATCGATTATCCTGCATGCAGTGTGGTTATACAGTAAAGTGTCAAATCTTGTGATTTTCCTGGCTTTTAGAGTACTAATTTATATATATACAGGGTGCAATTCGACACTTCTCTTTCAACAACATACAGCTCAATGTCCCTAATAAGGTAAGGTTTGGTGAAATTCATTTGATCAGATCCTAACGTTATGCACAGTATACGACAACATTGGAAGAATGTCTATCGCAGTTCACATCCATGGAATATCTGCAAGATGCAAGCTGTAGAAAATGCTCGTTTGAAACCACAGTAAAAGCATTGGCAGTAGAGATCGAATCACTAAAGCATCAATCAAAGAAACTCAAGAACGACACCAAAAAGAAACGGGAGGCTGTAATTCAGCTGGTTGCCATGGAGAAAGCCAAACGAGAGTTGCAGCACAGATTAAGCGTCGGAAGGATTGAAGAGGAAGGTGATCACGACAAGTTACCGCTGCTACGATCGGTGAGCCGCATGAGTAGTAAACAGGTCATGTTGGCCAAACCACCCAAAATTCTATGCTTGCACATTTCACGATCTGCATTCCTCAACACAGGTGCCATTTACAAAAACACGTGTCAGCTCTTGTTTCCTGAATACCTGGACATATCACCCTTCAGCACCAACGGCACATTACACACACAACCCAACATTCCCATCTCTACACTGAACGAAAAGAGTGCGGACAAAGGCTTTTACTATCGACTGATGAGTGTCGTAGTGCATTATGGAAGCCATAGCTTCGGTCATTTTGTGGCATTCAAGCGTCGCATTTATGCAGATCAATGTAAATGCTACCAATGTGCTGGAAATGGCAACGTATCAGCAAATGAAAAAGCAGAACATTGGAAGTGTCAAAACTCGTGGTATAGAATATCTGACTCCAAAGTCGATGAATGTTCGATCGAAGATGTAAAGAGATCCAATCCCTACATGCTGTTGTATGAGCTTATTAGCGAAGACGATGTGGATATCGATGCAAAGGAGAATGAAGACGAGGGGTGGGTTGAAGAAGACAGCGATGACCAGACTGAGAATACATCCATAGAAGTTGACGTTCCTGAACAAGACGATGCAACAACTAACAATAATACTACTTATACTAATATACCAACGGATGATGCTGCCCAAGAGGCGTTACGCATTGCCAATGCTCTTATGATGGGAGATCGCAAGTAATAAAATGTGCTGCTGACGGCGAATCAGGCACTAAGAATATAGAATTATTCACATCCCCTCTACTTTGCACATAAAGATGTTAAATATACGATTGTAATAGTAAGCATGATAATGCTCATCGATTTAGACAATTAAACTCCGACATGTGCACTATTTGTGAACTGGTCCCAATTTGATGAATTTGGATCCTCGAAACTCTTCAAATCGAAATTACTTAGCATAATGATAGTAAAACGAGCACGCCTCATTACTCAAAGTACATCTGAAATTTAACAAGGAACTCAATGGTACCATTTGTTTTTTGAATTCTCCTATGAAAATATTGAGCAACTCTGCAACAACTGAATTTCGGTTTTTTGAACGTAGCACCACGGTTTGCTTATGTAATAACTGATTAGACACTCTTATGACATTTTTGGGCAAATTTGGATCATTTTGGTCATAGAAAAGCCATATAAAAAATCTCCATTTTCATGGTCAAAAATGCGATTGTCGTATTTTCCACATTTTGGACGTGTAAAAATACCAAAGGTTTCAAGGCAATTTTTGGTTGATTTTTCATGATCCAAAATTTTTGAGCAAATGATACTAGAAGTTACTACAGATCATGAAAAATGGTTTGGTATCATTCTGAAACTCTAAAACGTCCAAAAACATTCAAAAACTGGGATGAAAAGATGGCTGTTTTCAACAATTTTGATAGTAATTGACTGATTTGAACGTGAGATTCAACTCAACAAAGGATTTCTCTGACTGCATTTCGTTGTTTTGATCGTTGGGCAGCTTTTACATCAGGCCAAAGCCTGATACAAGCAATGAACAGGCGTCAAATGGCCATGATGCTCCTTTAAAATGCGGATGAATGGAGCATTGGCAGGTTTGAAAACGCCGTTCTTGATAGAATTGATAGATGGGACTAGAGATGACATAAAAGCTGGTTTTCACAGCGAGTAATGGCTACCACCGATGATATGGAGACAAGGCTTCACGGTACAGTCTCTACCTGTATCCTACTAATCCAGTCTTTTAGTGATGTAATCAACATTTGAGCAACCAAGATAGCCTAATGCAATATGTAACTAAGAAAACATCTGAGTAGTTCGTCACTAGAGCTTAAAATCTGCGAGCCATCTTTGTTTCGGCATTGAGGTAGCAGCGCACAGCTGAGGGCGGGGTCAACCACAAACAGAGAGGTCTGAGTTTGTTGAGCCAGCGAATTTGCAAGAAAAATGAGCATACAGCAACCATTATGATACCCCCTCTTCCCGAACATCTATAACCGTCCGAAATGGTAAATACATCTATACAGCACACACACTGATGACAAAGGAGAGAACGAGATGGATGATAAAAAGATGGATTCAGATGGATGTATAATCACTCGCTGGATGGATGTAGCCTTTGAAATTTTGGATGCAACATTTTTAGGAAGCTAAAGGCCAAGCTGAAGTTTTGCGATGAAAGAGCGTAGACATTACTCATATGAACCACTACATCATCTCTCACATTCTCTCTTCATCTTGTATGCGCCATTTGGATTTTGTACACTGTAGACTAATTCACATTACAATAGCCTCAGCAAATTAAGGATATCAAGCAGTTCCTTGAAATTGCCCGTAGAAAGGATGCTCAATCTGCCCGTATCAAGAAGAACGCTGATTCTGTCAAGTTCAAGGTCAGATGTTCTCGTTATCTCTACACTCTTGTTGTCAAGGACAAGTCCAAGGCTACCAAGCTCAGACAATCTCTCCCTCCTGGTAAGTTGCAGCAGTGTTGTTGAAGCGAATATGATGAAACTAACTGACATATATAGCCCTTGCTGTCAACGAGATCTAAATTAAAACAAGCCCATCAATTGCTGTAGCTTTTTTTTTATTGTAGTCTCTTTTTTTTTTCACATAATAAACCAATATTGAAGAAGAAACTGATTACGAGATCAATCAAAGCCTTTGGTAGTGGTGTCACATTAGAGTTTTTGTATTTTCTGATTCCTGCTGATCTCGAGAGGATGCTTGTCGTTTTTGGTTGTCTAATTCTACCTGGATAGCAGTTTTTTGTCTCCATAGCTTCTCTAATGCAGTTTGAGGAGAGAAATGTTGTGATTCTATTGATTTCTGGGGTTAGTATCTCTAGCCTTCTCCTTCGATTCATGCAACTGGCTTTACCTAAAATCATTTCGTTTACTTCATCCGCTATCTTGTCTCTGTGGCGCTGGCTAGAACGATCATGACTCTCCAAATCTGTATAGGCGATGAGAGAGGTAGCATCATCTGTCAGCTCTTTGTATATTTTACTGCAAGGTCGAAAGTAAAACTTTGCAAATTGAATAGCTTCAATAGGACCTGAGGAACGTAATGTTTCGACAAACTGTTGACATCGCAGCTTGTATATGGTGCAATGTGATTTTGGCAACGTCAAGCTGTCCTGTAATGCAGCTTCCATTCGATTGATAGTGCTGTAGGTTCTTATTAAGTGAGGAAAATGCTTTTCAATCAAGCTGAATGCTCTCCCAATATCGCCTTCCCTGATTGCATTGTGGATATCTATCAATTGAGTGTATGAGTCGTTCAATCATCAAATAAACATCTAATTTTTCGCTACCTCTTCTGGCATCAATGTGGCTCCACTCTATATTGTTCTTGTCGAGCATGGATATATCAACGGTGTCTGTGTGAATGCAAATGAATATTGTGTCATTATAAACGAGATGATAATGTTTGTATATTTCATGCGTCTCTTACGCTTCTTGTCATGATTGTTCGATACATCCATTGCTATTTCACCTGTTATTCTGGGTGAGCTCTTCAATCAGTAACATGACGTGTCTATGTCTCTCACCTGCATTATCAACTTTTAGCTCTATCGCTTTCGAACATTCATCCAGAAGCTGCATATCGTCTAACAGCGCTTTCGCTGTATCCTTGTAGCAATAATGAAGCAGGTGCTCCATGATAATATTTTTGCAGTCTGTATTCAGGTCATTCATCATATGTATAGTAGTTTACAGTAGTTGTAAGGAAGGTAAAAAAAAATGAAACAAGTGTGTTTTCCTTTCAAGATATTGCACATCAGTATACACACGCACGCTCTCGTCTACACACACGATTCAGAGGTGTCGGCATCAAGATCCAATCATAACATCTCGATGCCATTCTCCAATGGAAAGTCGATTCTTGACACTGCTTTCTATTTCATGTAAATCCTTTTTTTTTTTACTCCAACATTTGATTCATATTGAAGCTCGGCTCAACAAAGTTTTCCGTCTGTTGAATGAGGTGATGTTGTATGTAACAGACATGGAAGCAGTACCATCCATTTTGAAGACTGTAGTGCTTGATTTTCTGCATTAAGCTTGATTTGGTCGTTGGTGCTACCTGCGTTTCTGCTGACATGCCAGATATACAGTATACGAGCCAGCCATCAAAAAACAATAATCCATTGGAAATGGCGGGAAAACTTTTCCAATGTGTTAGAAGAGATCAAAAAATTATAAATATGGAAGTTCCATTTCTTTTCATCTCCTCTTTTTTCTTTCTATTTGTTTGTTTGTAAGTACCCAAAAATTTAAGACACCATGTCAAACAAGCATTCGATGGAAATTGAACGTCAACAGTCAGTCACTGTCAAAGCAAAGGATCCCATTGTTGACTATGAAAAGGGCAAAGACACATCAGTGACCTATGTCGATGGATTCAAGGAGGAAGATCGCCTGTCAATTGAATCAGAAACACAAGAGTATGTGCTAAAGCAGCCTCCAGATGGTGGAAGAGCTTGGTTGGTCTTATTCGGTTGCTTTTGTGTATGTAGGTACATTTATAACCGAGAATGAAAAAATTAACTCTGTTTTCTTCGAAACAGGGTCTCTTTTGCACGTAGGGCGGATCTCTTAACTTTATTTATAAAATTATGAGGCTAACAGTGTATATTTCAACAGGCAGGGTTATAATTACGTTTGGGGTATATTTCTGAATTATTACAATCAACATGTCTTTCCCGATCAAATGACGGCGTTGTCTTGGATTGGTTCTTTATGGTTAGCACTGGCCAATATTGTAGGCCCATTTTATAGTTGGTTTGCTGTGAAGGTTGGATACAAATGGATGTTGATTGTGGCTGTTGTGTTATGGTCTTTGGGTATCATGATGGCTAGTATTGCGACAGAGGTACAAAAGGATGATGTGTGAATTTCATGAGTTCATGTAACTGATCCCACGTTATATAGATCTGGCATCTCTACTTGACTCAGGGTGTGTTGATGGGCGTCGGTGCTTCTTTGGTATGGTTTCCCTGTGTTAGTGCTGCTCAACAATGGTTCTCCAAACGCAGAGGTCTCAGTGTAGGCATCGCTATTTCAGGCTCGGGCTTCGGTGGTCTGATTCTCTCTAATGTGATACAAGCTGTTATTGATCATCTGGGATATCAATGGGCTCTCCGTATTGTTGGCTTCATCTCGTTTGTTTTGCTCATTATTGCTGCTTGTACTGTGCGACCTCTCAATGTACCTCAAAAGACTGAGATCAAGATCTTTGACCTGCGCCCCTTCCGTAATTTCCAATTTGTCTTGTTATTTACCATCCAATTTATTGGTAACTTTGCTTTCAATGTAAGTATTCTGATCTATGTCATCGTTGGCGTGCTGACTGATCGAATTTGTTCGAATAGGTCCCTTCTAGTTTTTTGCCTGGTAAGTTTGTGTATCAAAGTGTATGTGAGTTCTCGTGTATTGACGTGAAATCATTGTAGCATACGCCGACTATCTTGGTTTAGACCCCTGGATCGGTACCAATATGTCCGCTATTATTTCTGGTGTAATGATTGTGGGTAAAATCTCCAGTGGATTTATCAGCGATTACGTCGGTCGTGCCAATATGACATTTATTACAACCACCATGACAGGTGTAATGTGTCTTGCTGTCTGGCTTACAGTAACGAACCCAGCTGGTATCTGGGCATTCGCTGCCATGTTTGGTTATTTTGGTGGTGGTTATCTTGTCATGGTGCCTGCATTGTTAGGTCAAGTGGTGGGCATGGAAGACATTGAATCTGCCAATGGCTTGCTCTTCTTTGCTTGGTTCTTTGGCGGTTTGTTTGGTTCTCCTATCTGTGCTGCCCTGATTAACGATGCCAGCGGCCATCCTACCTACAATCATGCCATCATCTTTGGTGGTGTCCTTATGGTATTTGCTGGCCTATTAGCGTGGGTAGTTCGTGTAATGAGAGCTGGATGGAAGCCATTTATCAAGGTGTAGTTGTCTTTCTCTTCAATTTATCTACAATACCACATAGTATATTATTATTATATAAAACATATAGAATGTACTACAAATGTCGTCATGGTTGTGTTCTCAGAATATGTGATTCATAGAAGCCAAAAACAAGTGTACGACACCGATAGAGAAGATAATAACAGCAAATTTCTATTGATCCAAAGAACATAACTGGCTGATCAGCATTTGATTATTATAAAGAAACGGACGCAGATAAGACTTGTATTTTCATGAAGGCATTTCATAGTTGGGAGATGACTCAATAATAGCAAAGTTTTAGGAGAGCAATTAACTGATTAGAATACCTGACCATGTAATCTAAGTTTGTGAATGGGTTGTTTGCTATAAAACACCTGTGAAAGATCTACAGCGACTTTCTTGAGATATAGCCACTGAAAAAGACATTTTTATGACCAAAACGTCATTTAAGCTAAGCAACTTCCTTTTCAATTCCATGATCCCCATTTAATCAGTATCGCAATCATTATTGTCATCATCAGAAAGGCATTTGGGCCAGCCAGCAACAGCGCAGCCCGCCGCCGCTGCCAAAATTTAGTCAAACTCAGTTTATGTTTTCTGTTCAAGATTGGACAGATATCATCTTTTTTCGACTTCTTGAATCTATTTTTTGGTATCCGACTATATAAGCTGTGATGATAATCCGATGCTTCCTAATACATTCTTGGAGTACTTTTCAAGGCGTTTCCAATGATGCTGGTTGTAATAGGTATTTTGAATGAACTTGCTGAGAAATTTGGTAAGATATGAAATGTGGTTTTTGGCCAAAATGTCGAAATTTCGCATAAGAAAACCTCATAAAAGTGGTTTCAGAAATTGCTTGCAGTCGAGAGGAACCTTTTGATCTGATATGTACCATAGTTAAAGTCTTCATTTTCAAGGCGAAAAACGCGATCACTTGATTTTCGATGAAAACCATGAGGGGTACCTCATGCTTTTTGGTCGATTTTTGGCTATGTTTTTTTTTGGTCCCAAAAAGTTGAGCAAAGGTGTCAGGAAGTTACTACTACTCAAGTACAATTGTTTGGCGTTATTCCGGTGGCTCAGAAAGGTCTACATGTGGAGATACTAAGGCACGAAAACTGTCAGATTTGGTTATGTTTTTGCTGTATAGCGTTTATTACACGGTATGAATCACATCTCTGGTAGCTGTAATCTTCTGGAAGGGAAGTTCTACAGTCTTTGCAACTTCTCATTCAAATAGGAGGCATATTGATTTTGGTAAAGCTAATTCATGCAAGTTTTGATGCGTTATATTGTTGGTAAGTTTTTTTTTTAATAATGGAAATGAAAAACCGAATTTTCTGCTTGAATACTATGGTTTTGCACCTTCGCTTCGTTATGGTAAAACCGCCTCATAGGCCAATGTTACCAAATGTTGAACTAGATGCGTTATGTTCTTGGTGGATGGGCTTAGCACTTTCCCCAAACACCCTCCCCAATGCCGGTTTCGCTGGTGGTTTATTCACCTTGTACAGTAATCAATTCTTTTAAATTTTTGAAAGGACATGATTGTCTAATTTTTGGTTGTTGTTTGTCAAGATATTATATGATTGCGGGCGTCAGCATCGTTATTGCTTCTTGATCAACAGTAGTATCATTGTTTGTTTTCGAGTCAGTGGCATTGTTGCTGATTGTTTCTGAGCATTCTAGCTTTTGAGTCATCCAAAAACGAGTTTTGAGATATTGAAGCTAGCGCTTTGAAAGTAGCAGATTCCTGTAACCAAATTTGTAATAAATACGATGGTATAATTGAATTTTTAATTGGAAGAGTTGTTGTTGAGAAACAGAAGCCAACTTCAAGCATAAACGCTTTTTTCGAAGCCGGTTTTGAACATAAAAAACCTTGAAGGGGAACAGGACAATACGAATGACACTCAGGACTGACTCGTTTGTTTAAATATGGATAGAGGGCAGCTAAAACCATGCTTGAGGGTCCCATCATAGTACCCCTTACGGTTGTTAGTTCGCTTGAGAGTCAAGCCCCTTCTTCTCCTTGCTACAGAGTTTTGATAGGACATGGTTATGTGCTACTCTCATTCACACGAGAAGAGCAATGTTAATGCAGCCATAGAGATGGAGCAAATGACGGCAAAGTCTTTTCACGTATGCCAACTCTGACAAGATTGTCACCTTCACTGCCTCTCCCTGTTGTCTCTATTAGATGCGCCAAATACCTCTTCGTCAGATGAATATTAGAAGGCACTACTTGCAAAGAGTAGCGCCGTCTCCTTTCTTTTATTATTTTATATGTATCGAAAAATAAACCTATATTACAAACTCTAATAGAAACTGTCGTCGTCTTCTTTTCTACTTTCTCTTTCCCTTGGTAGCAACCTTCTTTGGTGGACCACCGCTAGCAGCGGCCTTCTTCATGGCATTTGAGACAGCCTCATCGCTTTCAATCCAAGAAATATCACCCAAATCCAAATCACCAAAACGCTTTTGAAACTTTGTCAATTGTTCACTTTCATCGGTAACACCTTCCTTCAACATGGATGGATTCCAAAGAGGATGGTTGCGAGTATCTTTGGTCAAACGAATCTGAGCACGAGTAGGAGAAGTAGTTCTGACGGTGTAAGTTGCTCCATTGCTCAAAACAATGGTTTGAAGAAATTTTTCAGGCTTGGATTGCGTTGAGGCCTTTCTGATTTGCGCAAGCTGGCTGGCAACTCGAGTTGATGTAGAGGTGTTTAATCGAAACATGGTGATATGTATGTTAACAATAAGAGCCCTTGTTAAAAAAAGTGACAAGAGGGGTTGATTTGATGGCAGGGTTGTGTTGCAATTCGGATAGAATGAAAACTAGTCACTATTAAAAGCAAGGCATTGGGCATCTGCCCCTCATGAATCTGTGAAATAGAGACACCTTGTCAAATCTTGGTCGTTTTATAGAGAAATCATGCTTCGAACAGGCCATCATGTAAAGTACAAGCAATGCGCATTACCTGTGCTATGTCGATTTCTTTCGATTCAATTAGCCAGTGGAAACAAGGCGCCCACAATCAGCAGTGATCCAGATGTGTGTATTGTCAGCCGCTCGTCGCTGAGAAACAAGAAATCAAAGAGAAGAAAGGAGCTCATCGCACCAAGTATACCACTCTCGCAGCGATTAAGAGATGCTTCGATAAAGAAAGAGCTTGCCTCTAGAGATTGGAATGCATTGCCCATCGATGTGTCATATAATCGTAAAATTATTCATTCCAATTTCTGCAATTCATGTCTGACATATCGCATTAGGTGTGCCACCACCCACGCATGTAGATGTAGCGACACTAGCTCATGGTTTGGAAAAGGTTTTGTTCAAGTAAAGTCGATCTCTGCGATGTGAATGCCATGTTGTACTGACTTGTATCGTAGCCCTGGAGTGCATTTCTTGAGAGATCCCAAGACAAAAGTCTATAACTTTACACCCTATTTAGAAGACATTACACAGCCATTGGACTTTGATTATGATTCATTACAACCTTATATCACATCTTCAAAGGATACCGTATGTTGATTTGATATATGCAAAGGAAAAGCCTTCTGACACTACCATTCGACAGAGTCTTGTGGATTTAGCCCGAAAACTGGAAAAGCAATACATTGGATCGACATCATCCGTGTCCGCCGTGCTGTCCCATTTGTACTTTGTCATGTCAAATTTTAAACCAGTAAACACTTCTTGTTTGTCCCGCGCATTCGAAAACGAGGTAAACAAAAGCAGCAGTTACAGCTTGTATAGTGTGGTTCTGAAGCAGTGCATAGTCAAAGAAATTCACCAAGGGATCAAGAACCCCAGCCTCTATTTATCTTCGATGGAAGGACGGTGTTTATGCAGTGGATGTGGACAAGTCTTATGATCTAGATGAAACTATTTTATCAGTGCTTGTAAGGAACAGCAGTGAGATCGCCGTTGGATATAAAGAGAACTAACTGGATGTTTGACAGGGCAAATCGCTAGAGAAGGTGCTCACCTCTGAGCCTGATGAATTTGAAAAGCATCTCAAGGAAAACTCATCACAGTTGACTGAGCAAGAGAAGAATCAACCAGAAAGCTATGCATATGGAGAGGTAATGTTTACAAACAGGCAATATATATATATTTGGTTTAACACTTCCTTTTCCCGAAAGATTGGAAAATTCTTGTTGAGATCCCAACTTGATTGTTTTGATCCAAAGCTACCAAGAGGCACATTTGATCTAAAGACAAGAGCAGTGATGCCAGTTCGATTAGACATTCAAAATTATACTGTAAGTGTGCTTGCATGTTATTTGTATATAAACAAGGTATTGATACGCTTTGTGCGCAGGAATATTTGGGCTATAAACTGAAGCGTTCCAAGGGATTGTTCGAATCATTTGAGCGAGAATACTATGATATGATACGATCTGCATTTTTGAAATACAGGTAACATTTAGCGCGTGCCTGAAAAGAACAGCAACCACTGATCCTTTTAAACGCACAGCTTTCAAGTGCGTATAGGACACATGGACGGTATTATGGTTGCGTACCATAATACAAGCAAAATATTTGGCTTCCAGTATATCTCTCGAGAAGAAATGGATTCTCGTTTATTCGGATCTACTAAAATTGGCGATCAAGTGTTTCGAAATGCATTAGTTATGTTTGAGTCTATTTTAGACAAGGCAATAGAAAAGTACCCTCGACAAACCTTAAGGTTATCATTTGACACAAAGCAACACAATCAAACAAAGGAAGCCACTACATACGTCTTTGTCGAAGCCGTGCCTGACACTGCTGCTACTGCCGCTACCACAAATACAGAAGCAGCTCAAGTAGCAGCTGTATTAGAACCAACAAGCACGAGTGAATATGACTATCGCCCATATGACAATCTGACCATGTATTCACTCAAAACACAATCACTTGTAAATAACCGAGCTATCCAAGGACCATTGGAGTTCAAGAATCCCCGGCGAGATACATGGACTGTACATACAAAGATAGAAGAAATATATGCAGATGACTTGAAGAAGAAACAGGAGAGATTTGTCCAGATGCGCAAACTCCAAGCCTCTGTGTATTTACCCTCTAACAAAAAGAACCCATTGCATGCCATGTTCAAACGTATCAGTGAAAAGGAATTAAAAAATGAAACACAATAAACATTTTCACTTTATTTCTGAATAGATGGTTCTCTTTTTGCTGTTAGGGTATGGAGTAAATGTACAAACAGCGTGTAGAATTTAGTATTGGCGACATTCCAAATCATGCACTGGCTTGTGGGCCTTGAGACAGCGAATACCGCAATAGTATTGTGATTTGCATTTGGAACACACTGGCATCCCCCTTTTCTCAACACCACAGTTAGAGCACGACATGGAGCATGACGATGATGCACCGCTGGAAACAGAGGATGTTCTGGATGGTAGTTTGGGTCTTATCGTGCTACTGTCGTCCTTGAGCTGATCGGCAATTAAATGCTCAAGAGCTATCTTGGCAGAGTGTTGGAGTTTTTGCTGTTGGAAGTCCAAATGAGTTGGATGCACAGCCAGACATTTACGGTAATAGGTGATTGACTTATTTAAATCCATATCTTCGCACAGATTGGCACGGCAGTGGTAGATGGATATGCGGATAGTGCGGCCATATTCCTCGCGCATGGAGAGTGCTTGTTGGCAACGGGTACTTACATTCACAGGTAACGATAAGGGGATGTATCTGTCTGCCTGTGTGCTGTCATCCTTGACTAATTTACCCAATTCACGAAGTTCAGTCATCAGCACAGGTAGCCATGGCAAATGTGTTGCTCTGGAGATATCAACATGACACTGTATCAATGCAATGGTTTGCTGGACAACAGCCAATAACAATGCGTTCAACTGCATTGGCTGCTTACTCTTGTTCAATCGAAGTGCAGCGAGATAGTAGTTGGCAATCTTGTCACAGTTAAAGCACTTTCCTTGCGCATCATGTGTGTACTCTGTGGTCGGCGCCAATTGATAGGCTGCTTCAATTGATCCTTCTTGCTTTAATTGACGCTCAAGCTGATCATTTGGATGAATTAGTGGAGGTTTTTCATTGGTAAATGTCTTGCTACTGGAGAGCATTAAAGTAGGCATATTTTATAGATAAATAAGATTAAAAAGAGAAGGAAAGAAAGAGAGAGAGAGAGAGACGAAAACAGCAAAGATAACCGATATTTAAACGAGCACAAACCTTGATTACAGCATGTTGGTTCACTTTTACACAAACTATCAACAGAGCGGAACATTTTAGCTTTGGAACTCAAAGCCAAACAAAATCAAACACTTGAATCAAGTGATCCCATGTGCCTTGCTTTGTTGCTTTGTTGATTGGCAACATACACCTTGTAATACTATGCTCTTTTATAAAAACTATCAAATCCATGTGTATATCTGCCTGCATTGGCGATTGTCCAATTCTATAGTCTTGTTTTGTCATTGTTACAAATGAACCAGTCAATTTGTCGTATTTTTGCTCGTGGCCCTGCCTGCCCTTTTTAACTGGCTTGGGTACATTGGCTTGTATGACCTTTGTACACTGTAAATGTTGATCCGTTTTGGAATCAATGTCAAAGCATCAGTCTGTTCTGATATCTCCAAATATGTATCTCGGCTAACAATACTCGGCCATTGTATATCAAGTAATTGCAGCTTACATTGTCTGTCGAAAGGCTTATTTATTGCAAGTACAACATGTAAAACTATCCCGAAAGCCTTCTTTGTTTGTCAGGTATTGCTAAGTATTTGGTCTTGGCCGAGGATGTCTGGAATTTCTTTGTTGGTGTAACTTTCCTGCAGGTCAAAAAGAAGCTTTTCTTCTAGTTGGGTTACTCAAACTAGCTTCAAAGGATGGTCAAAGATCAGCATCGTCAGGCTAGACACTTCAATCACTTTTGAAAGTAACGTTTTCTGAGTCATTACAAAGTTTTTTCTATCATGGTCTTTAGCCTTGATTGGCATTTTGTTTCCAACTTTATAGCTGCAAATATCTTTCTTATTAAGAAGATGGATGAAAATCAGTTGAGATGGTATAAATATGAAGCACAACAGGTTTGTGATTAGGTACATACATTAGCTATACTCAGACCAAATTCACCTGCCACCACCATTCAACTCTGTTTATCTTTCATCAGATTGGGTATGGCTGAGTGGCATATGTCTTGGTTGAAGCTAACAAGATATGGACAAAGGCCTACCAGTGTGTCTTGATCTTGCGTGCTGTTTCAGACTCTTACGGATTAGATTTCGCCTCACGCTTCATAATTCCATTCTTCACAAAGTTAGGGCGCTTTATCTGTCGGCTTCAGTATCTATCTAAAGCTGTTATCGGCGGATGATTGATATCGTTTTTCATGACAGAGCAGTATCAAAAAACTAAATCTTGAAGAATGGACCTTCAAAATGATGAGTTGACCAAATACACACTATAAAAGCCTTAAAGAAAATTATACTCGCTTTGTTCCATTCGAAAATATAATATATCGCCCCATATATGTAGTCTTTAGCAGACTCTATTTGTCAGTTGCTGCGTGTTTAGCCATCTTGCCAGCATGAACAAAGCAAAGTTAAAAGCATCTCCACGAAAAGCAGACAACTTGTAAGCAATGGCTCGAAAAAAGAATGCCAGGAATTCGTTACGTGATTTCGCGCTACCGTACCGATCCAGTTTATATTGTACTTTTGATATCCGTCATTCAAAGTTGTGCTTGCCGTGCACTAGGTGTTTTAAGAGTAGCACATCGCACAACCACTTTTTACAAAGCTCGTACAAGTATTGGAGGTGATAAACGAAGAGACAACCACTATTTTATATTTTTAGTTCAAGGCAGCACCATTCTAACAGAAAGATACAATCATAGTTTGCATAATTGTTGATTGCTTTCATCAAGAAGTTTGTAAATTTGGTGGACTCAAACCAGCTAGCCATGCAACATGTTAAATTTGTCCAACACAGAAATTTGTATCACTTATACCGCATACAGACGATGGACAGCTTGAAAAGAGGTCATTCGTGTTGTACATGCCAAGCATGGTTGTGTGAAAGGAGTTTGATGATTCATCAATAGCTACATGACAATCATAGTATGGATGGCCTGATACTTTCAGCCATGGTATTCTCGTCTTCGTATTTCGTATTTCAAAAATAGATCGACACTCCAATCGTGAATATGGTGATAACTTCTTAGCTCACAATATTGCTAAATCTGATTATCGGCTTACTCTGTTGAATCAAATGCTATTTAGCATTGCTCTATATCACGTATAGTACCATCGTTTGCCATTAATTTAAGTTCAATATTGTGCTATCTTGAATAAGATAACAATATTGCATTTCGCATTTGAATGAACTATTTGCAACGATAAAATTTGATAGATACAAATTTACAGCAACTAACGTGCTCAGAATACGCTATACTTTTCCAATTCGCAAAACATCGATTGTATTACATATGAAAGGCGCTTTGGTCAGTGCAGCAGCCCTCAAAACCAATTTTAATCTACGCCAAAAAAATTATTTGATTATTGGTATTTTTCGATTTGATAGACCTATTTTGCCAATGTCGACTATATAAAATAGAGTGATCATCCCTTGCTTCTTTAAGCTATCTTGGAATGCTTTTCAAGGCGCATCCAATGGTACCAACTAAGATGAATGTTATGAATAAACTTATTGAGCAATTTATGAGAATATGAAAAGAGGTTTCTGGCCAAAAAGTCGAGATTTTACATATCAAGGTCCCACAAAGATGATTTCAAGGGTTACGTTGGATCGATAGAAACATTTCGATTCAAGATACACCATAGTAAAAGTCTTCATTTTCAAGGTCAAAAATGCGATCGTTTGATTTTCGATGAAAACCATGAGGGGTCCCTCATGCTTTTTGGTCGATTTTTGGCTATGTTTTTTTTTGATCCACAAAAAGTTGAGCAAAGGTGTCAGAAAGTAACTGCCAGAAGAGAGCAATTGTTTGGTGCTATTCTAAAAGTCTAAAACGGCCTTGAACACAAAAAAAAACACAGCCCAAATGCACCCAGATTTTGCTGTATTATTCATATCTTTAAGCAGTAAGAGGCAATGGAAGTATGCTGTATGCCTGCAGATGAGTTATTCCCATTGATACAGATGAAGAGCACCGTAGAAGAGCCAGATCCGCAGATAATTGTAGGGTTCTCATGTGTAAGAGTAGGATTACAATAAAAGCAGCAGTATTTGATAAGATGAGCAAGGGCAATTGGTAGCGCGAGCTGCCGCTGCACAGGTTGGTTGCCATCCGAAGCATAAACACACTCGTATTTAATAGTAAAAATGCGATTTAGGTCAACACCTGTCCACATCAAGCTTGACAATGTCAAACAAGAGGCTTTTTTTTTATTGCTTTTTGAATGTTTTTCTAGGTCTCTCATCTGCACTTTCAGACGAGGCTTTCTTTTTCTTTTTGAGCAGTGTCTTTTTAGGAACTTTCTCTTCGGTCTGTGCAGTCTGTGAGCTGTTGATTTGAATGTAGTCATCTACAAAAGGCAATGACGATAGGTAGAATACTTCGTCGCCGTCTTCTTCATCGTCAGAGTCAATAAATGCCTGAATGCTATCACACGTTGTCACATCGAGGGCAATATCCTCATCCACTTGCTTTTGCTTTGTTTTTTCATCATCAGGAACCTATTGAGAGTGGTAAGCCAGACATGCCGCATCTGTAACGCCCATACATACCACGTCAAACTCGTCTTCCTTTTCCTCGTATTCCACATTTTCCTCTAATTCAATGAAATCTGGCGCAAAAGCGCTCCAATTTTCTTCGTGTTTAGCTGTCCAAATGTAAATGTTGCCGAAACTACTGACTGAAGCTATAATAGGTCTGACAGGATGCCACTAACCAAATTGAATCAGTTATCTCGCCATCCATAAATAAACATTCCCAGCTTACTGCTAAATCATCTAATGGTTCTTTCGGTCCTTCCAGAATTTTAACGAGATTGCCCATATTCTTGTCCCATATATAAATGTTGTGTTCTGCTTTATGCCCTGATCCTCCAATAACAAACTCGCCATCACTACTGAAGCAGCTCTGACTCCATTGAATTCGATTCACTAGATCCTGGAACTTGTTATGTAATATCGGGACGCCCGTTGATTCTTCCAGTCGAAAATATCGAATTTGTCGGTCATTTGCATTAATGAGCATATCACTAGCCAAAGATCCATACATTTGAGTTTACTTGTGTGTTGTAATCTAGAAATGTCTATTACCGTCCATTTCTGCTCCACTGTATCCCTTTAATAGTCGTGTTTGTAATTCTAGTATTGTATATGATCTGTCAAGTGAATGGTAAGCATCAGTCATCCAACAGTCTTCAGTGAGGACACACAACCCACCTTGTTTGTCTCTACATCAATGATATTGAGGTGGCCCTTTGAACTCCCAGTGTATATTCGATTTCCTGCCTTGTTCCATGCTAGTGCTGTTACGTAGGATGATCTACTCGATGACTTAATTTATCATATTCACCCATGTCCTTTCTATCAACATACACTTTTCCTGTATCGTCTGTATCATCTGGCTCTGTCGGTAACTCGGTTCTTACAGGTTCTTCGCCCACAATATCTACAATGACAGGTTTCTCTTGAAATAGAGCTGCGGCAAATCGATTACTAAGGGTGCACGTTAGTGCTGATCCATAATGAAGGCGTAGCATGCGTGCTGCTTACTTGTTCTTTGGATGCATAAGTGCCATCATGAGCGGTGTGTCGAATCTAATCTTTAGTTTCTTTGTTCCCGAGACAAGATCCCAATATATACAGGTCCAATCCTTGGATGCTGACAGCAAACTTCTTCCATTATGAGACCAACTAGGTAAAATGATAGTTAAGGGCCATGATGAATGCTGTAAGCAGATCAGTAAACAAACCTAATACTGGCAACTGGTTTCACATGCCCCAGTAAACTGCGAGTAACACCCTTTGTATCAAAATCGTATACTACACAACGTCCATCGAGACAACCAGCTGCTAGTAATGTGCCGCGTTTGTTGAACTTGCAATTCAACACAAACCCATCTTCCAAAGTATCTTCAATTAATTGTGGATATTCCTGCTCCCAAGGATCTGAAATGGTTTAGTATTTGTCTCGCATAATGAAACTGGTACAAATATCTACCAAGCAGCTCTAAATTCATTTTATAGTTTAATGATGAAAAAGCCTCAATGCTTGGGATGTTTGACGGACTGGACTTTTTTCCTGAATTCAAAAAGACTACAGTGTGGCTCTTTGTTTAACCGAAAAGCAGTGTGGTTATGATTGTATACATGTTAAATGAATGACAATGCTCATGAAAGCAAATTGGCCTGGAGAATAGCCAAAATAATAGCAAGGGCAGAGAAGCTTGCTACAATATAGCCATATCAAGACATGGATAAATATACAGTAAGCATTGAGAAGTCGTTGCTATGGAGGTTTGTGCCTGATATGATTATCCACCACAGCCAGACTGATGTATACAGTTTTACTAGAATGCGGTAAAATCTCACTTTTTGACTTTGTATTATAAGTGAGAACCCTTCATAGACAACCTGTAACTGTGGATCTGGCTCTTCTACGATGCTCTTCATCTGTATCAATGGGAATAACTCATCTGCAGGCATACAGCATACTTCCATTGCCTCTTACTGCTTAAAGATATGAATAATACAGCAAAATCTGGGTGCATTTGGGCTGTGTTTTTTTTGTGTTCAAGGCCGGTTTAGACTTTTAGAATAGCACCAAACAATTGCTCTCTTCTGGCAGTTACTTTCTGACACCTTTGCTCAACTTTTTGTGGATCAAAAAAAACATAGCCAAAAATCGACCAAAAACCATGAGGGGCCCCTCATGGTTTTCATCGAAAATCAAACGATCGCATTTTTGACCTTGAAAATGAAGACTTTTACTATGGTATATCTTGAATTGAAATGTTTCTATCGATCCAACGTAACCCTTGAAATCATCTTTGTGGGACCTTGATATGTAAAATCTCGACTTTTTGGCCAGAAACCTCTTTTCATATTCTCATAAATTGCTCAATAAGTTTATTCATAACATTCATCTTAGTTGGTACCATTGGATGCGCCTTGAAAAGCACTCCAAGATAGCTTAAAGAAGCAAGGGATGATCACTCTATTTTATATAGTCGACATTGGCAAAATAGATCTATCGAGTCGAAAATTTATAAGGTTTGTCCAATCTGGAACAGACTAGAGTTTGTATTTGAATTAATTTGGCAGCTGGTGAGGCCAACTGGCAAACTCAATGCCGTTCTAATCATGAAGGCAGTAAATAAATGCTTTTGGAGTTAATGGAAAGTAGATGGTAAACTGCATAGTACCACCGTTAGTCATGCTATTTTCTTCCAAAGCCATATATCTAATAATGTCAGTCCACCAAAATACTTTCAAGATCAACTTCTTTCCTCTTTGAGGCTTTGAAAGGTCTAGGGATCATGAATTTATTATAATATAATCACTGATGTGTCATGAAGAAACTGCAAGGATTAGATGTTTCCATTCGTATATAGAGTATTAATTGTACGGTGTCGTTTATTCATTATTAGGAACGCTGACAATATAGTATGGGAGTGCAGGCTACAAAATAAAAATGTAAGCAACAATGCATTGTTAGCTTGAACAAGACACTAACCTGAATCTTCTTGTTTCTGTCGCACTGTACCAACCATTCAGGCTTCACAATAGGTATAGAATGTTGGACGGCACGATCATAATTTGCTCCACCAGGAAGTTGAGCCAACAAATGAGTTGTCTCCACGCTCACTTCATCTGACCAAGAAGCGCCCATCTTTGATAACAAATCCTTCAATTCTGTAATTGCTGGCTCTGGTTCCTCGAATGTACCAAATGCAACACGGATGCCGGTCAAGTTCTCCATCTTGTGTGTACGTGCAATTACTTTGTTGGATTTGTATTCACCAGCAGTTGTTTTGATAACTACATGAAATTCGAATTCATGATCCACATCCAATCCAGATAGTTTAATGAAATTGGTATCACTAGGTACGTGCTGAGATTTGTATTAAATTATATGTACACTTCCACGCTATCAGCTATTCTGTTTACCTGAGCCAACTTTGTGCCGTTCTTGTATATGTCGAGTGATCTAAGCTTGGCCGTGTGCAATAAGAGAGGGTCCCACTCAAGGATAAGTGAGGTTTGAGTGATGTTTTTGACACGAACAACAGGGACTTCTGGTTCGTCTTGACCAAAGGTTGCTAATATACTTTCCTGTAATTCCCAAAATTCCTTCATCTTCCTCTCTTCTTCGGGTATGTTGCGACTGACTGCAATGTTGACGATACTTCCAGAAGTAACACCTTTAGGAAGCAAGAGTGAGGGAAACTCAATAAGGTGGTGGTCTTCCGTCAACAAAATTGCCTATATCCATGTATGATTTAATTGTCATGGATTCCATACAGCGGTAAACGTACTTACCATGCCGGCATCAAGCTTGCCTACTGTGAACTGAACTGAGGTCATACTATTACTAGAGATACTATTTGATATAAAGGAAGAAACAAAAGAGTTATAACAAGATTAAGAAAGTCAACAGTGCAATATATATATATATATATATATCAGATACCGCGAATTCATGTCTTCGCGGGTCCTCAATTGTAGCATTTGCCAAGCCGATGAATCGATGACTCTGCTAAAGCATTCGCTTGTAGGATGAAGAAGGTGGTTTTAATGCAATGATGCAGAGAGTGCTTTCGTTTTTAATTTTCAAGCACTTGCTATGCTATATACATGGCTATGGATCAATTTACAGCACCAACTTCACAGTGACATGCTTTCTCCCACCCGCATTACAGGATGTCCAGATCAAACAATTGCATTTGGCTGAATCTCATTGAAATCATCCATAATTACACAGCAGGTTTTTATTCAATGAATCAGAGTCAGTCTCTTATAGGCAGATACAAGTCTTTTATACAAATGTAAGACTTACGATGATATGATGGTTTGGACGACAAAGCACAGCAGGTTCCGCTTGAGTCCAATTGCATGCAAATACAACACTACTTGATACAAAAGAGCGACAATTACAGAAGCATCCTTCACATAAAAATAAGCAAAATAAACAGCTCTTCACATTTTGCTGTATCCGTATGATATGGGAAACTCACTTTCAATGTGAAAATATCATGCAAAATAAATGGGAACATAAACTAACGATAATGATATAATTGTGTTTTATTGCTATGGTATAGAAATAAATTGGAATGATATATAGATATATTCTCACTTTTTTGATTTTGCATATATAGATATGAGGATGAGTGATTAAGGATAGGTTGTATGTACATTTAATTACATGCTCGTTGCTTTGTAGGACATGGATTTTCTTCGAGATACGCTTTCAAATGTGTCCTGAATAGACAAAGCAGTTGGCATCATGAAGCCAGACACAGGAGCCGATCGAGGAGCTGGTTCAATATCCTTCTTTTTGGTCTTGCTGAACAATGGAAAGAATGACAAAGCACCATCATCTTTTGCTTGTCCTTTGTCTTGTGATTGCTGCGAAAACTTGTTTGTTTCAATGCTTAATTTTGCCTTCTCGGTTGTTTTGCTTTCATTTTTGGATGTAATGATATCAGATGTGGATATTCTTCGATGATGGAAAGGTGCACAGCTTGATGTATGTGAGCCAAATGATTCTAATCTTTCAAAGGTTCTTCCACATTTGCAACGAAAAGGCATCTTCTTGTTTGCGAGTAGTATTTTCTTGGAGGAAAAAAAAAAAAAAAAAAAAAAAAGAAAGAGGAAGAAAAAAAGGGGGAGGGGAGGGGAAGCGGGTATAAGTGAGTCTTTCTTATTAGAGGCAGTCTGCAGGTTCACAATGGGCGTTTTTGCATAACAACTGACAACAAAGAAATTATCCAATTACAAATGTTATGTAAGCAAGCGAAAAGTGCACATCCAGTCTTCTGGATTTATGATTATGTTTCGTCTATTCTCTCATGCCAAGCACCAATGGCTAGTTTCGGTACTGCAATTGCTGATCTACCCCTGAATGTTCATACACTTGAAATTTTAGACTTTATAACCTTATCATTGCTACCATTGGCATGTATAGCGATTCTCTATAAAGCTGCGGCATTTCAGCAGTGCTTTGTTTTATTGATCTGATAAGAGTGCATGCCAGAAAGAGCACTATATCAAATGTTCAAATGGGCGTATTCGGCAGTACCTAACCGGCTGTTTCATTGATTAATTTTCCAAAAACCCTCGTTTCATGTTCGCATGTAACCTTGATCGAACAATTTGCATCTTTTCTATTGATATGTGCAATTGACTATCAGTTGCATTTGCACTGACTCTTGATAATGCCTTTTCAATACCAAACCAAGAGACCCAGCAATCTGGATGTATTGTGCATTGTGTTTTGGGTCCCGCCTCGAGATCTTGCAAATATGCTGCTAGTCGTAGTTGAGTTTCGCTCTGGTTTTCTTGTATAATGATGGCACAGTCCTTGTCGACATGAATCTCTTTTGATATTGTCCATTGTGGGTCCTTGATGAGTTGAATATCATCGCTTTGCAAAACAAATGAATTTGCACTATGATAACTAACATTGACATCGTCCAACTGAATGATGGGATGAAACAGCTTCTTATCATACAAATACCCGATTTGGCCATGATCAGACTGAAATTGAGAGGGTCGAATGTCTTTGATGTGTAACACAATGTCTGAATGGAATTGCCCTGTTGTCGCCGTACTAAGCTTATCACGAAGCTTTTTAAACAAATAGAATTGCGCATCTGATAGCAGACGTAGTCGATGATCCTCATCTCGCACTTGTATGTGGTATCCTTGTAAATGGCGTATCATATCTCTGAATGTCTCTGGATCCCTTTGTATGATAATGGGTGGTGATTGACCCAAATCATTGGTGTGTGGTGCTAATAGAGCATGCTTTAAGGGGCCTGTAAAATAGTTGTGTGGCCCATCTTGACAGCCAAAGTTTAAAACTTGATTAGGGTTATTTTGATTACTCATCTGTAATGCTCGTCAAGTACCTTTGTTGAATAAATCCCACTTCAGTCGAAATGTCGTATTCCCCACTTGAACGTACACAAATTGCTTCAAGTATTTTGTGAGTCGTTTGAGTCCATAATAGTGCGAATCATTCAACAAATCTTGGTGCTGGCATTCGTCTTTTGCTACTACAGGGTATCCTCTTAGATGCCGAATTATCAGTTCGAATGTATCTGGGCTACGATCAATATGGACCACTCGAACTTTGGTTCTCATGAAATGACGAGTGAAGAAGTTTGCTGGGCCATCTGATAGCAATGATTTCCAGCTGATGTAAAATGTGCGTCCTCCAATGAATATAGTAAAGACAGTATTGAGGCTGATCTTTTGCTGTTGTGCTTGCGAATGCTGATTCATGTTGGGGCTTTTTATTTTTTATTTTTTTAGGTCGTATTATTTTTGATAGAAGGTTTATATACAACAGAGGAAACTGATGGCGGAGGAAATAAATAAAAGGGGATTGGACACCTTGCTTGGTCAGACCTGACCAAAGGCCTTTCATATCTTACTCATCAACAGAAATCAGTCTGTTCAAGTTCAATGTCTTCCTGAGCGAGAAGCACACCACTCTTTTTTGCTATCAATTCACATATGAGGCATTAGTGTGCGTTTACCAGCCACAGCAACATCCTATCTTGCAATTGCCAAATGGTTGACATCCAAGATTTTGATACAGTGGTCATGAAGCTGTTTGAAAGCCAGTTGAATAGCCTCTCTCGATTTTTTCTTCAATCGTTTTTTCATATCTTTTCAACTGTAATAATAAAAACTATCATGTCTCAATGGGAAACTATTTTGGATAAATCATCACATATATCACCAGTGAAAATCAATCCGCCAAAAAACCATTCCACTGAGCGGCTTGAAATCCTGATGAAAAGTAATGCGATTTAAACATTTTGCTGATCTTTCTTTCTCCATACTCAACTTTCAAATGGATACAGGTAAAAGCACAACAAAAGCGAGAGCAACATCACATGAATCGGAGGCCAGTATAACATCAAGGGTAAATGTCTAATCAAGACAAAGAGACGACTCACTTACCTTTAAGCAGAGGTTTCCTATCAGAGCTATCATCACATCTACACTGATTCTTGTCAGTCTGGCGTACATGACAGCCTCAATAGGTTGCAGCATTAACAGATCGAATTCAGCCCACCATCCTATATGTAGACGCGTTGTTCAGCTGCAATCTCCATATGAACTGTACAATGGCGCAATGAACAAGAATTTGATCCACAACAGTAAACAAAGATCAAGAGCATGGCTGCATCAGAAAATGGATAGCTGTTATGAAGCCACAGAGCCATACATCTCCAAAGTGAAGCAGGGCTATCGTTGGACAGAAACTACCAGTGTCAAGAGCGCTTTCAAGCTGACTAGCCATGTTGTAAAATCACTGATCTATACAGACGGGGAACAACTTGGTCCCGTGCGATACATAAACCAACTACAGAGCAATTACATAAAGCCAGTTTGGAATTACATCAAAGACTATATTCACAAGCATATGGTTCAACTTCGGCATCAGATGGACGATTACATTGAAAGCGGTTCGCATGAACTAGCATATACAAATGGAGCAGAGGAGCAAGGTGTTTCTGGTGGAATTGTAGAGGATAAACTAAAGAGAACGGCCAAGAGGATCTTGGATTACATTGATCAAATCAACGAGCAATCCATCAATACAGGAATGAAACAAGACGAAGCTAGACTCAAAGCACACGAAATTATCAAGAGCATCACAGATGCAACAACTGCAAGCAATCCAGCTCATATAAACATAATCGATATCAACAAGGACAGTTCAGATGTTGAAAAAATTGCATACGAAATACAAGAGATCATGGAAGTGGCAGTACTAGAAAAAAGGCAATTGGATGAGCAATTGGATCTGATACAAGCAAAGTTATCCTCTTTTGCTGTGACAGGAAATGATGATAAGAACAAGGATGAAAGAGACGTACACCATTTCACGATAGCAGCCCTCAAATCAGAGATCGATAATCTAAGAGCCATTGCAGAGAACAATGTGCGCCAAAGGGCAAAAGCAAGTGTAACAGTAGCTGAGAGCATCAACAGGAGTCCAAGCATCAAAAATCGAATGAAAGAGGACATTCAGACAGCTCAGCGCGCTGCTTTGAAAGATTTACGACAAGTGTATGTTAAACTGTATCAAACGAACAAATTGATCGATACGCTTGCATCCCAACATTGATTTTTCTCACCTTGTCAACCAACAAATAGCGCCATAAACCAATTGGACGCAAAATATGGGATTCATTGTATATTTCACAACTTGTTCAGAATAAATTTGATAGTATAGACGCTAGTCTTACTGTGAGAATCATATGTAATCATGAATAGGGCGACAATTATGCATTTTATACATAAACATGCATACTTTTTGACCAATTTGTATCCCAACTTCAGTGTGTTTACTTATGTTTGAGTTGGGATGTGGATGTATATACAATACTATCTGCCCGTATTTATGGACTAGCCGATCAATCTCGCTAGGCTCCATGACGGCGTCACCCTGCGGGCTCTCGCCAAAGACATTCCAAAAGACACCCTTATTATAAGGCAAAACTCCCCCCAAGAAAAAAAAAGTATTCAAGCTAAGCAACTGATCCCCATTTAATCAGTATCGCAATCATTATTGTCATCATCAGAAAGGCATTTGGGTCAGCCAGCAACAGCGCAGCCCGCCGCCGCTGCCAAAATTTAGTCAAACTCAGTTTATTTTTTCTGTTCAAGATTGGACAGATATTGTCTTTTTTCGACTTCTTGAATCTATTTTGTGGTATCCGACTATATAAGCTGTGATGATAATCCGATGCTTCCTAATACATTCTTGGAGTACTTTTCAAGGCGTTTCCAATGATGCTGGTTGTAATAGGTATTTTGAATGAACTTGTTGAGAAATTTGGTAAGATATGAAATGTGGTTTTTGGCCAAAATGTCGAAATTTCGCATAAGAAAACCTCATAAAAGTGGTTTCAGAAATTGCTTGCAGTCGAGAGGAACTTTTTGATCTGATATGTACCATAGTTAAAGTCTTCATTTTCAAGGCGAAAAACGCGATCACTTGATTTTCGATGAAAACCATGAGGGGTACCTCATGCTTTTTGGTCGATTTTTGGCTATGTTTTTTTTTGGTCCCAAAAAGTTGAGCAAAGGTGTCAGGAAGTTACTACTACTCGAGCACAATTGTTTGGCGTCATTCCAGTGGCTCAAGAAGGTCTACATGTCGAGATACTAAGGCATGAAAACTGTCAGATTTGGTTATGATTTTGCTGTATAGCGTTTATTACACGGTATGAATCACATTTCTGGTAGCTGTAATCTTCTGGAAGGGAAGTTCTACAGTCTGTGCAACTTCTCATTCAAATAGGAGGCATATTGATTTTGGTAAAGCTAATTCATGCAAGTTTTGATGCGTTATGTTGTTGGTAAGTTTTTTTTAATAATGGAAATGAAAAACCGAATTTTCTGCTTGAATACTATGGTTTTGCACCTTCGCTTCGTTATGGTAAAACCGCCTCATAGGCCAATGTTACCAAATGTTGCCTTGAAACCACAAATCACTCAATCCACAGCCAAATAGCAGGCAAGAAATCACTTGAATTAGATGCGTATCGTATGTTCTTAGGGGAGGGGCTTCTAATCTCTGACTGGCTACGACGACACTTTTGTGTTTATGTTTTCCGGTATATATATATATATATATTGATCATTTCCATTGTTCTCGACGTGGAGGATTGTCGTAAAGGGTTTAAATTCTTCAATACAGCGCGTGAAGGTCAGAACTAAGGCGACTATATATAGTAATTTTCGTAAACTGCCACATACAACAGTACTAGCTCCTAAACGACTGTGCCATAACGTTAAGGACGATGCAGGAGCACTTTGCGAGCGAAATTATTGTGTCTACTTGTATCAGGCAAAGCTGATTCTTTAAAACTTCATTTTTATATCAGATGTTGAGGATGTCCAAGATCCAGCACAACTAAATGTGATGCGACAACACTATCTTCCCTCTTTAGAGTTGACAATGACACCTCTCCTCTACAAACACATTGGGAACGTCTGGATCCGCTTTTTGCCCTGTCATTTACTATCCCATTTGGCCCAACTCGCAATGATCTACAAAGTCCTTAAAGCATCAGGTCGAGCAGTCATATGAAATCAAGTATTCGAGGCTGTTGGCTGTTTATTGTTTGGTTTCATTATTGCTGTTGATCACTATCTACCCATGGAATACGAGACACCCCTTCCCAACTATTTACATTTGCCAGCATCCACGTTGATTGAAGCTGTGCGTCCAAATTTGTTTCCTTAACGAGCTTCAAATTGAACCACTATAAATCAATGTTAGTTTTTGAGCAAAAATTGGCTTCGGGAGATAAGACAACATACTTCTCTTGGTTCTCTTCTTGTACATGATTCTATGGCCACAATCTTGACAACGAATAGGCTCTCTAGGCTTCAACTGATTCTCTGCGCCACAATCTACAGGGTGAAATGAGTACATTTCAAAGAAAGACAATACGCATTTGAATCGCATTACCAGCACACAAATATGTCATAGCAACAGGCTGACGAATAGGAGCACCTTGATAACCTTCCATTGTATTGTATAATGTATTGAGTAAAAGAAGGAGACTTCCATCAGTAGAAGGATGGCGATGAAATGGAGCAAAATGTAAAAAAAAAAAAAAAATATTCAACTAGTCACAGAGAAAAAAATAGTGAGGTTTACTTGATACGAAACAACAGCTTCATTTGCAGGTCATCTTCTTCCATCCACACCATGAGTCTTCCTAGAGTGCTTGAGACACAAATCGACGATTTTATCCAGAGATTGAAAAGACGGTAACTACATCCACATCTCAACATATCGCTTGAGACATGCTCTGATAAGATTTCCACAGCCAAATAGTGGGCTCCTTTTTTGTTGCAAAGGAGACAGCCATCATTCTTCGACAAGTAGTGTCTATTTCTCGCTGGCGTGATGCACATGTCCTTATCGATATTGTCACTCAAGTTGGGATTCGTTTGACTTCTGCTCAACCCAATGGTAACTGAAGCTTATAACATGATCGTCTTACAATGACCTGAACATTTTGTCATAGAATTGGCCATTGGTAACATTGTGAAGCGTGTATTAAAAGTCATTCGAGAAGTATCAAGAGGCGATTTAGAAACAAGTGATGATAGACCTTCAGCAACACCCGATTATTCCAGCTTTGGTGAGGAAGACGAGCAGGATGATTCAGACGATGACATGGAAAACAACCATGAAGCAGACGCATCCGACAATGAGCAAACATTCAAGTCATCTACCAACAGTAGTTTGGCTGGATCTACTTCTGGAGGACGCCCTGAACTGACTACACAGACATCCATGTTTAGGTTATTGGCTGACATGTCCACCTTGACAGCTAGAGAACAAAAGAGAGAGGAAAACGAAAAGAGAATCAGAGATACCTACCACTTGAAGCCATTGATCATCCAGGAAATCACAGAAGAAATCATTGCTGATTTGGATACCAAGGACACTGCTGCGATTTATAAGGGCATTGCGGATCAAGCGTTGGATTTCATTCATGCAAAGTAAGCAACATTTGATTCAGTTGTGTGTTGGATTATTCATGCATTTCATGTTAGTGAGGTGATTATGACAATTGGCATCTCCAGAACTGTGCAAGAATTCTTGATGAGAGCTGCTCAAAAGCGCAAGTTCCAAGTGATTGTTGCAGAAACAGCACCTACGTAAGAATTGGAGTCTGATGCACTGACAGGAAAGAAGGACGCTAACTGCGATAGATAGATATCAAGGCCACAAAACGGCACTCTCCTTGTCAAAAGCAGGCATTGATACTACTGTCATTGCTGATTCAGCCATCTTTGCAGCCATGCCTCGTGTAAACAAGGTCGTTATTGGTGCTCATGCAGGTAATGTGTTTAATCAGCATACACTTGATATGTTTATGGTACTCAACATGTTATACAGTGCTTGCAAACGGTGCTCTTGTGTCTGTCTCTGGGTCACACTTGTTAGCAGCAGCAGCCAAGCATCATTCCACACCTGTTTTAGTCTGTACCGCCTTATACAAGTTATCGCCTCTGTTTGCCTATGTTGCTGATGCCTTTAATGTCACTGTATCTCCACAAAATGTGTTAAATTTCCAAGAAGGATCCATTATAGATGATGTTACTACCACAAACCCTTATTATGACTATGTTGGCCCTGATTATGTCAGTCTATTCATCCACAACCTGTAAGTGCATATGCTAAAGTTAAATGTTGCCAATGACTTAGGCCTCTCTTTCTTTCTGTAGTGGATCTGCACCTCCTACCTATGTATACAGACTCATTAATGATAACTATGATGCTGAAGATTCCACCCTGTTATAAATCAAATAAACGTATCTACGTAAACCATCAAATGAAGGACCTAATGGTAATGCCTTGCAGTGCAATTATATTTCTGATTTTACAAGTTGGCAAAACATTTGCTACAGTTTTATTATTATGTTTGATGGAAAAAAAGAAGGAAAAAGGCATAAGAGAAGCTTAAAGGACAATGATGAAGGGATAAAGAGAAATCTACAAGAGGAATGCACCAGCAAGGGCAACGACAGGAGAGCCGGTGACACGAGGCAAACTCCAGGCAACAGCGCCAGTAGTTTCAGCTGAACCAGCAACATCTAAATGAGTGTAACCGATAGAGATCTCCTTGTTATCTAAACCATATTGATCCAAACCAGAAGCTTGCAACATGAAACCAGCAGGGTATTGATGGCCACGGTTAGTCATGGTGGAAGGTTGATCGTTGGCAGAGACAAGATCTTCACTGGAGCGACCAGGGCGAACACATGTCACATCTTCACGACGCATTGTGGAGATCTCAAAGGGATCAGCCAAGAGATGGCCAGCATCATGGACACGCTTACTAACACGGTTCTTGCGGGCGAAACCATTGTCCAATGTAATACCATAGCCGTCGTAAGCACGGATAGCATGACCCGTCAAGGTAGCACAAGTAAACAAGAGGGAGGGAGCGCTGGAAGCAGCAGTGTTTTCCTTCTTGTTGGCAAGCACCTTCTCTTTGAACTCACACAATAAATCGGTCATGACCATACGGCCCTCAGCATCTGTGTTGCCTACCAATACGCGTTTTCCGCTACGAGCGACAATGACTTCATCACTCACATACATGTCAGGGCCAACGGAGTTGCGGACAAGAGCAAGACCACCGGATACATTGACCTTTTCAGGGGCCATCATGGAGATGGTCTTGAAGAAACCAGCAACAGCAGCAGCACCACACTTGTCACGAGACATGTCTCTCATGTGGCCACTACACTTGATATCAGCTCCACCGGTATCGTAAGTGACACCCTTACCAACAAAGAAGAGACTAGGTCGACATGAGTTACTCGCCTGCTCTAGCAAAACCACACTACAACTTACTTTTCTTTGACCTTGGATTGATCGGGAGACACATAATCAAACTTGACGAAACGAGGATGATGGCGCTCAACAGCCAATGAAGCACGAGTGACAGCATGAGCCAAGGGGTAGTTCTTCTTGATGTACTCAATGTCATCAATGACAGAGACCTTGACATTCTCGACACCCTTGAACTGCTCTTGGATGTACTTTGCAATGTTGATGGGAGACATGATCTCGGGATCAGGGTTACCAATATCCTTACACACACGGCGACCAGCTTCAACAGCGCTGACAAGCTTGATCAGGCCCTCTTGTTGGTCTTGAGGGATGCTGCTGACGACACCAACACGCTCAAAAGTCTTTATCTTGACAGAAGCGCTTTGGCGCACATCAATGGGCTCAAAGCAAGATTCCAACAAACCCAACATGGTGACGCCCAAAAAGTGATCGTAATCGCTGTTGGCATCAAAAGTCCAGTAAGACTCGACAGCGGCAACAGGCTCATCAGCAAAGCAGACGAGAGGAGATGTGATACCAACCTTGAGAGCCTGCACACCAACAGAGTAGGCAATGTCCTTGAAGCGACGCACATCATCAAAGTCATTGTAAAGAGAGCCAGTAGGAGCCAACAGGATGCGCTTGTGAGGTTGAGCATCGTCAGGGAGAATCAACTGTAAAGACTCGCCGAAAGAGGCATCCAATTCCAAGTGCTTTTGAACAGAGGGCACCACGTTCTTCAAGGCCTGCTTGTCAGTGAAGACGACAATGAGGCCATCGTAGTTGCTGTTTTGAGCTTGCTGTTGAAGAGTTTCAACAAGGTTGTTATTGTGAGATACTAATTCAAGCTTGGGCAACTCCATTTTTGTAAATTGGTGTATATAAAAGGAAAAAGAAGAGGACCAGAAAAGAAAATTTTTCTCTCGTTTCTATTACATTCTTGCCTGCCTGGATTCAATACCTGGGTTTCGTTTTTTTTTTTTTTTTTTTTTTTTTTTTTTTTTTTTTTTTTTTTTCTTGTGGGTGGTCGTACCCGGCAGAAAGAACGAGTGCGCGGGGCAGACGGGAAAGAGGTCCATACTACAAATGTCATTTTAACACAACTCCGGCATGCTCGCCATGATATATCTTGTAGTGCTTCCTTGCCAGAATGTGCCTTGGTCGGTGCAAGCGAGAGATGTGATGGTTGATGTCAACATGAGATGGCTTGGATGCTACATCCTGCTCGATCATGATCCAGAGATTGAGATGCTCATTGTATTCATTGCACCAAATGCATGCTTCCTGAAAGCACGTTCATTATGCTGGAGGCCTCTTGCATGTGCGCCTGTCTACTGTAAAGCTAGATCATATCTATGCAAAGAACGTCTCTTACACAGTAAATGTCCCCAAATAAAAATGAGCTCACATGTCGTGATATGGGACCACGCACATGCCACTTGGAAGTTGGACAGTGTCAAAAGCAGGAGATCAAGCACACTGAATTTCGAATCAAGAGATGCAACAAACAAAAACTGGCTTGTGTGATTCATGCAAACATGAGCCATGTTGAATCCCAAAACGGAGCGTTAATCGCTGCGTCTTGCTGTTTGGATGAATCCTACCGTATCAATTATTCTCACGGATCTACATGCTAGTTACACGTAATTCCAAGAAATGAACATATGGGCGCAGCATGTTATATATCTACTAGTGTGAGTGAGTCATAGTTTGCAATAATGGAAAAATTAGAGACATGACCAAGTTTGTTGGATCGCTATATTCCTATATTTTCTACTGCGGTGATGATGGGCTTTGAGGGGAGGGGCAGCAATGCCCTAGCCTGCTGTTGCTGGCAGTGCTGTGCTGCTCCATGCCATTGAAACTCAGGATCTCGCTGCGTAATGTATTTGATAACTGCATTGCTGTATAAATACAGTTCTTTTTCTCTCTTTTTCATTTCTTCTGCAACAAACCCTTTCAAAATGACTGTAAATGATGACAACTTAATTGACGAGGCCAACCTCTTGGCAGATGCGTTGTGCAAAACCTCCATCTCTGATCATAAAGAGCAACAAACACTTGTAGATAACATGCTTGACAGTCTAATCAATAGCACACAAGAGAACAGTGGTTCGACGAAAGCGTTAAAAGTAAGGGGAGATGGACGTAGCTTTTCTGTGGTGCACTATACTCAAACATTTACTGTCTACATAGGAGATATTATTAAATCCAACACAGCAAGATATCGACCATCTAACACATTTGATATCGACTCGCATAGATCAAGGAAGAGGAGAGACTTTGTTTGAAATTGGCTTGGAAGGTATGCTATCATTGTTGAGTGTCAGGATCTCGCATGTGAGCTGACAGAAATGGCAGAGGATGGGTCTTCCATGAACCTGACGCAGGACGAATACAACAAATGCATTGAAACGATTCGCACTGTCACTGATAAATTGCAGGCCGATTTCGCCAATATTGACGAATTAAACACATTGGATCCAACTGCCAAACCTGCCAACTCAACTGCTTCAGATGTGTATCATTTGATGATCCGAAAGCGCCCTCAGTCTGTGCAGGATTTGCTCGAGATCAGAGTCGCTGTCGTTGGTAATGTAGATGCAGGCAAATCCACCATGTTGGGCGTCTTAACAAAGGGTGTGTTGGATGATGGACGAGGAAAAGCGCGTGTCAACCTGTTTCGTCACAAGCATGAAATTGAGTCTGGTCGAACGTCCAGTGTGGGTGGCGAAATCTTGGGCTTTGATGCTGCGTCTCGACCTATCCTGCATACAGGAAAGAAGGCCAATTGGGAGGAGATCACGGACAAGGCAGCCAAGGTGTTGAGTTTTGTCGATTTGGCAGGACACGAAAAGTACCTCAAAACGACTGTGTTTGGCATGACAGGCAGTGCGCCTGAGTTTGCCATGCTGATGGTTGGTGCCAATGCTGGCATGATTGGCATGTCCAAGGAGCACTTGGGGCTGGCATTATCGCTGGGTATACCTGTGCTGGTGGTAATTACCAAGATTGATCGATGCCCTACTCATGTATTGGAGAAGACGATCAAGGAATTGACATCCATTCTCAAGTCCAAGTCTTGTCGAAAAATCCCTCTGTTTGTACAAAATAATCACGACGTGGTGATGACAGCGGTACGTAGCTATCGTTCATGCTCTCAAAATACTGTGTACTCATTCAGGCCTATAGCAAAACTTTGTTAGTGAGCGATTATGTCCCATCTTCCAAGTCTCCAATGTCACAGGGCAGGGCCTCGATTTAGTACGCAATTTCCTGAATATCTTGCCTTCGTTAACCAAGTACGAAACCGACCAGGCTTTCCATTTCGAGATCAACGAGACCTATTCTGTGCCTTTTGTTGGCACCGTGGTCAGTGGTGTGATGAAGAGCGGCTTGATTCATATCGGAGACAAAGTGCTGTTGGGTCCTGATCATGCGGGCCAGTTTATTACAACAACCATCAAGGGCATCCACCGCAAAAGAGTCTCCATACCGGTGGCAAGAGCAGGCCAGAGCGTAACATTTGCATTGAAGAATGTGCGGCGTAATACAATAAGAAAAGGACAGGTGCTGTTGGCCTATGAAAAGGATAAACCCACGCCTCCATCGTCCAAGCGATTTGAGGCAGAAGTCCTGGTACTGTATCACTCTACCACCATCAAGTCCAAATATCAAGCCATGGTTCATTGCGGAGCAGTGCGACAGACAGCCAGCATCATTACGACCGATAAAACGGTGCTTCGTACGGGTGATCGAGCTAAAGTTGTAAGTACTTGTATATAACTTGATACCCTATAGAAACTAATCCCCTCCTGAATGGCAACCAGGAATTTGAATTTGTAAAGAATCCTGAATATCTGACCATTGGCACTCGACTGATTTTCAGAGAAGGCAGAACAAAGGGTGTTGGCAAAATTACGCGATTGCTCAATTAAAGGATCACAGTCAGTTTTATTACAGTATTGTCAATGAATGTTCTTGGATAAAAATAAAGTAGCTGGCTTGTTTGATCTATGAATACGTAAATGACGGCGTAAATTACTTTGTACACTAAATTTTCGTCCACAACATGGCTCAGAACAGACAAAGGGCTTTTCTCCCGTGTGAGAAAACGTATGGGTTCTTAGGCTAGAGGGTCTCGTAAAGCCCTTGTTACAATAGGGGCATATATATCTACAGCTGGAATTGGATCGACTGATATTTACTGGCGTCGTCTCTTCCTCCTCCTCATACTCGTCTTCTTCTTCAGCATCTTCCTTTTGCTCAACTGGTAACTTGTCTTGTACATGGACTCTTTGATCTGCTGCTAATTCCTCTGCTTCTTTGAGCGTGGTATGCTTGGTATTTGTGGGGTATATGAAGTCAGAATAAGATCGAGAATGCGTTCTGCCTCTCCTAGTTTCTGGAGGCTTCTTCTTTCCCAGAGATAATTGCTGCATGTCCATTGGCAATGACATGGCCGATGATTTTGTGATGGAAGGAGGCATTTGAAGAGACGCATCATGATGAGAAGAGGGAGAGGGGGGCAGAGGAAGGGGATGTTGAGGTTGATGAGGAGGATGAGGAGGGAGCAATCGGTCCTTATTGGAGATGATATGCTCAGAAGCATGCCGTCTATGTACATGATGGACGGACGAAGAAGGGTGCTTGTGGTGGTACTGATGGTGATGATGTTGTTGCTTTGCAGGAGGCCTTGTATAGTCTACATTGGAAAATACGAAATAAGATCAGCTCATGAATATAGACTTTTAATGACTGCAACTGTACCGATCAAACCAGGACCACCTTCCAAAAGGTCCTTGATCGAAGGCAATTTTGGTTTTTCGTTCATGATGATGATGAATTAGAGTTTGATCTTGGTGAGAAGGGGGGGAAACGCGCTAACGCAAATAAAGAGTTGAATGAAGAAGAAGATGAATACAATATATGTGAATTCTCAAATGAGGATTATGGAAAAGAGAGCGTTTTATATGATGGTTCATTTGAGTTACAGACACCCTGATTTAACATTTAAAGGAGGGCAATGTAGCGAGGCGAGACAGAGACAGAGAGCCTGCATAGAAGAAGGGATGAAATCAGAATCATTTCATTGTGAAATTAATATATCTATTCGTATGTCTTGTTGAACAAATAACATTCAGACGCTTGAAACTCATGGAAGAGTTGCCATGGTAACCGAAGAGATCCAGATCAGCAAGCAACAATATTTGATTGTACTTTTTGATTTCGGATTTTGACCATACATGGTGAGTGTGTAAGTGTGTGTGTAAGTGTGTGTGTAAGTGTGTGAGTAAGTGTGTGTGTGTGTGAATGAAATCCTTTAGTATTTACTGCATGGATGTTTAGCCCAGTTCTATATAATTAAATTAAAACGGAATTGAACAGTTCAAAAGTTGTATATTCCTAAGAGAGAGAGAACGTGCTCTCTTTTTATATTAGCATACCGAGTTAAATTGCTTGTAGAAAGGAGGGGAATTGCATCCATAGAACCGAGAAAAATTGCAAACAGCGGTTCTCACACACTCACACAACATTTATTCAAGACTGTCCATTAATAATTCCCATAAAAATTGCACTATTAATCCATTTATCTTTCGTTATTATCAGAAAACACATCAATGACGAGCAACTTATCTAAGCAATTCTTCAAAAGTCCCTACTATGCTGTTGTAGGCGCAAGCACTGCTCGCACAAAGTTTGGTAATCGAGTTTTACGCTGGTAAAATATCTATACATTGCATTTGTTGCAAACTATCCCCTTAAAATTAATAAGAAAATGAATAGGTATCAATCGAACGGTCTAGATGTAACGCCCATTCATCCCGTAGAGTATTTAAAGCTACTTCAACAATACACTGTTCTCACATCTCTCATAGAAAGAAGCCAAGATTGAGGAGCTAGCTACCAAACCTTCCATCGATCAACTGCCTTTCCCTGTCAAGACCTCCATTTCCATCATTACACCACCTGCCGTAACGCTTGGTGTACTAGAACAAGCCAAGGAATTAGGCATGAGAGAGATTTGGATCCAACCAGGAGCCGAAGATCAAAAAGTCATTGATTTTGCCAAAGAAAACGAAGCGGATATGAACATCATCTTGGGCGGGCCATGCATTCTGGTCAAGGGGTCTGCACTTTTACAAGAATCAAGACTTTAACTTTTTTTTTTTATTGCAAGGCCAACTTTAATGTAATCACTTCAAAAGGCTTGATCTTAATCAATAAACCTCTGTGTAGTTGTCTTTCATGCTCTTGTTGCTGTAGTTCTAGTACATCTTCATCCAACACGCGTAAATTTGTACTGAATGTTCGGTCCAGCTTGGAGGAGCTGTTGATGGGTACCTCTTCTAAATCGTCCTCGAGAATGTTGCATTTAATGGCTTTTGTAATGACTTGTGAACTAGGGAAATGGTTAAACACTGTGTCATTTTAGAATGTAAAAAGATTGTTTTACCTTATTAACCTTGCTCTTGCATGGCCGCCATACGCCTCAAAGATTCTTACAATCACATCATTCGAGTCCTCTGCCTTTTTAATAGTATCCAGCACTACATTTGGAGCATTGTCTATCTTGAATTGAGGAAACGAGTGGCTGATTTCGTTAATCTTGCTTTTTGGTATCAGTCTATACACAACAATGAGTTTGTATTCAAGTACACACACATCTGAACCTACCTTGCTAGTAAAGGCGAGTTGAAATTATAGCCTTCTCGGACGACATCAGACTGCAAAAAGTGTTGCTCATGCGGATAGATGGCGTATTTGAATGAATGGTGCCCCACATCGCAATTGGAATCGGGTGCTTTTGGTGATCGCAACAAGGACAATCTCAACACGTTTCGATGTGCTGAATAGCCATATTTGCAGTCATTCAACAGTGCCACGCCATAGCCAAATTCAGACATGTCCGCAAACTTTTGAGCCACCACTTCAAATTTGGCACTTTCCCAGCTCGTGTTGTAATGCGTAGGTCTTTGCACATGTCCATACTGACACTCGTAACTCACATTGTCCGCCAAGATATCCCATGCAAATTCCACCTTGAGAAACTGTCTGTTCTCGTTCCAATCCACCTCTGTTTCGAAATCTAGGCGACGTGAAACGGCAGACAGGACCACAATTTGTCGTAGTCGACTTGTCTTGGACAGCTTCTTTTCAATCAGCAGCGACGCTCTTAATGGACCTTGTTCCAATATCTGTACAGACCCCTCTTTGATGGTTTTGAACTTTTCCAAGTGATAGATTTCAACATCCCAAGCGTCCCAAAACAGCGGAATATCCTCGTACATGCGAAAGACATTACCTCTTTCCTGTGGTTTGATCAGCTCTCGTTCAACGGCCTTGTCAAACATCTGAATCAAATGGCCAGACTTGTCAAAGGTAACTGTAATGTACTGGTTTTCCATTACCACATTGTTCATGCGATCCGTGTGTACCTTGACTGGTTCTACTTCCAACATGGCATCATCGAATTCAATGCCTGTCGCACTGCTTGCGGCTACATGAGCGATCACATAACCCGTGCGCCCGAATGCTGAGTATTGTTTCAAGTTGATATCGTCCTCCAGCGGCACTTCTAATATCGCATGTCTCTCCCATGGTAATGTGTTGATCACAGCCAATGCCTTTTCTCCGGTCAATGGACCTTCCTTTTCACTGCGGAATAGCGTGGTCAGTAGATCAGACCGCATCTGTCTGCCCAAGACATCTACTTTGGTGTACATTTGCAGACAATCTTCATAGACCATTTCAATGGCAGAGCCAGACATCACATCGTGAAATTGAGGTAGGCAGATTAGTTTCCAAAACTCGTCAAATTCATTTTTGGGGTATTGGAATTCGGGAAACTTGATCATGGCAAATGTGGCCAGCATCTCGATATCACGAAGTAGGAACTCGCAGGTTCGATTGAGTTTCTTGCAGAAAGATTGAGTGGTATAAATGCCTCTATGCAATTCAAAATACTAGGCTTGACATGAGTATGCAGTTCTTCAGCAAGGTACCATTATTTACCAATTCACCCTTCCATGAAGGCAGTGCTGTAGTCGTTTGTTCAATCTTCTGGTAGAAATCAGTCGGCAAGGCCATCTCTGTTTTGGGTAGTCCATCCACATTTTTCATTCTGCGTAATCGCTCAATCATGCTTGCCAGGGGTCCTCCTCCTCCATCACCGTTGCCGTACACCAGCAGACTTGTATTGGAGTACACTTTGTCTCGATGGTTCTTGACGCTTCTCACTAGTTCCTCTGGCGTGCACTGAGCATTGTAGGTCTCTGAGGGTGCCATGTGTGTCAGCGATTTTGTGCCATCCAAGCCAATCCACCAAAACGTTGTTAGTGGAAACTTGTTGACGTTGTTCCAGGAGAGTTTTTGTGTGAAAAAGTACTTCATGTCAGCCAAGTACATCAATTGCGGTAACTGAGACGAATAGCCAAACGAATCAGGCAGCCAAAAGACCTTGCATCGTTTGCCAAAGTTCTGCTCAAAAAAGCGTTGCCCCAGCAAGAACTGCCTGCACAGCGATTCACCTGAGGGCATGTTGGTATCCATCTCGACCCACGTACCACCTGTAGGCAGGAATTGTCCTACCGTCACTTTTTCCATGATCCTTTCCCATAATGGCAAATAGCGATCTTTGACCCATTGAAATTGCTGTGCTTGTGAACAAATGAACTTGTACTCGGGATATCTGTCCATCAGGTTGATCTGAGATGACCAACTGCGAGCCGCCTTTCGTATCGTTTCGTCAAATGGCCAAAGCCACGCTGTATCAATATGGCAATGTCCAATCGCATAAATTTCATGCTGTGCGTCTCCATTCTTTGACTGTAAGAATTCGTTGGCAATCTCTAATCCTTGCACGATGGAGCTGTCATCGCCAGGGCTGAATGCATTGATGATGCGATTGGCTGTGAAAAGTGCTTGTGATCCACGGAGAGAATCTTCTGGTAAATCCTTTGCCATACCCAATATAATCTGAAAATCATACAGCAGATCCCAGGCAATCTTGTTGGGTACCGCCAAGTCCTACGTGTACACAACTGTCAGCCCCAATAGGCTCCTTCCATCCACTCCATTTACTCACCACTTGATTTAGGTTGAAGAATCGGTTGGGATCAGGTGCGCCAATAAGCCCATTTCCTGCGCCAAACATGCCATTACAGGCCATTTCAATATAGAACTGAATGATCTCTCCTCCCTCTGCATTGGTTGTCAATATGTATTCATGGCGAGCATCACTGCCAGCTACACAATGTAGTTTGTGAGATAGTGCCCCTTTTTTTTTTACGGCGCTGTAAATTTCGTTACCTCCTCCTGTCAAACCCTGCAACGGCGCTCCTTCCATACTCCAGATCATAGCTTCGTTATCCGCATTCCATATAAATTGCACTTCTTCTCCAACAAACTCGTTTGGGATCCTCAATTGAACGTGAAACCAGTGTGTAGACTATGCTTGCATAAACATACTTGACATTAGAAAATCAAAAAAAAAAAAAAAACCTCAAATTTTAGCTGACATACCCATGAAGGACCAAACCATTCTCCAAGTCGTGTTGGCCTGAACTCTTGTTGAACGGCTTGCTGAAATGGGATTCGCTTGAGATCAGGCACGCTATAGACCAGCAATGAAATGTACTCCTCTAGGCAATGTGTTAATGCCCTGCTCTGTTCGTCCTATTACTACACCTTACCTGAGTTTGTGCGAGCCTTGTACAGCTGAGAAAGCAGATTGACATCGTTGCCATTTGCACCCCCACTGGTAAAGTTGGAGCATCTATCAATGGTTATGCTTCGAATGAGCTTGGGATGGTCTAGTACGTGTGGTTGTTGCTGTTGCTGCTGTGGTTGCTGGAAGTACTGTGGAGACGCTATAAAGGACGGCCTCACATGGCCCGTTGTCGTTGGTGATGCTCCATCGTCTGAACTAAATTGAAACTGACTCAACAAATCCATAATTTGTTATGGTGCAAAAAGAAAAGGGAAAGGAAAAGAGCAGAAATGGTCGCAAACTCAGTCTTATATACAAAATAGCCATCTCTCTTTTATATTTTTCGAGATGGATGAATGATGAGAAAAAGCAGCGAGATTTCACACACACACAGAAAAAAAAAAACGCATACACTTGTATTTCATGAAAAAAAAGAAACATTTATTTTAGATGAAAACCTTCCTTTTTATCGAAAAAAAAAACATAGTATTGACACTATTGAATTTAAGCCTTCTACACGTTACAAATGCACACAGTGTCAGTTAATTCGCACTCTATCCGATATTTTCTAGTTGCGTACCTTCTGGAATCTGAATCTAGGAGGAGGAAGACGGTTGCGACGGTCGACAGCGGAACGAACACGGACAACACGAGCGTGAATAGCACAAGAAATACAGTAGTGGAGCTTGACGTACAACTTGGGGATAGTGTATTCTATTGATTATTGCGACATGTCAATACTCACAATGTAACGTTCTTCTCCATGTCCATTCTCCCAAATCAGACTTACCCTCGTAGATGGAGGCTTCTTGAAGATCACGGACGGCAGCAGCCTCTACCATGTTACGGATGGTGAAACGCTTGATAGCCTTATCCTACAATACGCACAATAATTTCAAATCAATACACACTGTTGCTATTGCTGTATAGTTGTCCTCGATCTCTCTCCCTCTTTTTCGTACCTTGGGGACACAACGGTAACAGTTGATACAACGAACGACCTTGTTGTGGCCACGTCCGTGCTTGTTACGTCCATTGTTTCTTCTCTTACAAGTCTAAACAAAAAAAAACAAGAGGTTTATTAGTGGATGTCGTTGCTTTGGTGGTGGTCCAGTATATGAGTGGTGATGTGTGATGTGTGATGTATCATGGATGTGTATTTGTATGTTTGTGTGCGTTTATGTTCAGATGGATGTGTTTGGATGCTTTACCATGATGGATGGATGTCCCGCTTAATTGAAGGGTTTTTGAAAGGAGGTTTTAATCGCTTGCTGGTCCTCCATAGTCTTTTGATTCTAACATTTCCTCCTCCTCTCCCCCCCCCCCCCATTCAGTTGTTCAATAAACTTTGGGCTCCCCCCCCCCCACCCCTCCACTTACTGGCATGAAATTTGTCCGGTGTGGCTTATTGACGTCCCCGAGAATCAGAACCAGAGCATGATTTGTCTATCATTATGAATAGCTAAATCGACCTAAACGTAATAAAAAAAGATTTCACATCAATGAGCAGTTAGTTGTTTCTATCTATTCAATGAAGTATAGCTGAGTATAGTGTAAATCGACTTTTTGACATTGCATTTGACAGATAGCTCCATCTCTAGTTGAGCTTCCGTCGACGTGGGCCCGCTTAACTGCATGTATACAAAGACCATCATAGAGCATAAAAAGTATTACTGGCTGACTTGGGCAACTAATAATGGCAGTTAGTTGGCTCTTGTTGTCTTTAAGGTATATTTTTAGGGTAACCGTATTTGATTGGATTCGAAAGCCATTTGATCTGAATGAAATGTTGGCATCAGGGTTCGCATTTGGAATGAAGAACTTGCCACAATGAAATCGATAAAATATAAAGGTTACCTACAAATCAGCTTAAAACAATATCCAAGTTATTACACTTGCTTTTTATCTCGCAATTCCCTTCTCATTAGCTTCAAAAGTATCTAATATATTCTTGATTCCATAAAACATTGATATATTCAGCAGCTGCTAAAATCAGTTCAAATTCCGGTTGACTCATTCTCCAGATTGGCCAGTTTTTGTTGCAAATCGACTCAGTCCCTCTATTTTGAGGAATTCGACTATATAGATTTTGATGATCATCTCATGTTTTCCTAAGCTTTCTTGGAGTACTTTTCAAGGCGCATCCAATGGTGTTATTTAAAGGAAGAGTTTTGAATAAACTTATCGAGCAATTTTAGAAAACATGAAATGAGGTTTATGGCCGAAATGTCAAAATCTTGCATATGAAAACCTCATAAAAGTGATTTCAGAAGTTGCCCTGGATCGAGAGAAATATTTTGATTCAATATACACCATAGCTAAAGTCTTCATTTTTTGGGTCAAAAACGCGATCGTTTAATTTTCGATGAAAGCCATGAGGTGCCCCTCATGGTTTTTGAAGGGTTTTCAACGATCCCAAAAAAAAGTTGAGTAAAGGTGTTAGAAAGTAAGTACAGACCAAGAGCAATTGTTTTGTATCATTTGGACGACATAATGCAGCCTATGAAAGCAGAAATCAGCAATTAAAGATTGCCAGATATTGGTGTGATCTGACGTACTATTGGAAAGTTTGAGCCTATTTGGATATTATATCCATAGATAATAGCTTTTCGTTGTTCTTGTTGAAATGCCCAAAGCTCATTTGACGATTCTGATTGGATTCTGCATGAATTCAGGAGCTTGAGCAATGCCACAAGATACTCTTCTGATTTAAGCAAGACTCAGTTGAAAACAAATAGTTACATACAGGTCGCGTTCTCATGCAAGACTATTTTACATGGTGAACAGTTGGTGCTTTGGGGTCAATTACATCATGTGGGCATGAAAAAGGGGAAGCCATTTTCGCTCATTCCGATAGTGAAAATTTGCATCCAGCAAGCAACCCCCCCCCCCGAGCTTCGATCTTGTATACTACAGAGCAATCTGATTGTGTCCCTTCTACGCGATCCTTAAAATCCAGCGAAATCAACATTGCTGCTTGCAGTGCTTTTTGTTTCAGATGTAAGAAACTGCATGCAATGACAAACTTGCATGAAATATATACAGCGCAACATGTGGACATGCAAAGAAGTGGCCCCTTGATTTAGAGTAATTCATAAGGACAGCTATGGCCTATCTCTATGTTGATCTGTGTTGCCCAAATGATTCAAACAGTTGATCCAATTTGTTTTGTAATGTGGTGGCACCATAAAAACGTAGTCATCCAGATTTCTAATGTTGCAAATAGAAAAAAAAAAAAGCTCCTATAGTGAATTACAACTTCTTTCCAACATATAAACTACAACAAAAATGAATGCTCTGGTGGCGCTATTGCATTTCTGTGAAGTGCATGGTCCTTGTGTAGTGTATTGCACTCAAACAATACACACAAATTCGCCTTCTTTGAATGAGAACGACCTGTGTGGCAGCGATAGTAACCTATCCACTTCTCCTATACCCATACTACCATCAAAATACCCTGCAGCACTGCAACAAGCATCCTCCGTGTCCACAACATACTCTTCATCATCGCTTCGTAAGAATTCAGTATCATCTCTCAACACTACCACGAATATACCTGGATTAGGTGCACCATCAGCAATGGCAACGACACCCACATCCATAGGAACCATAGGCACAGCACCCAGCACAACATGTGCAGCCTGTACAGCCCAACTACCCCTCATCAATAATGGCACAAGCATCACAGAAGCGAAGCACTTAGTCACCACAGACGATGATGACCCTACTATCCAATACATTGGTACAAGCAAATCACCACAGCAACCACACCTGTATAAAGCTGTACGTCTAGCATGCGTGCGTAGCCTGACAGCCGAGTTTTGTCAAGGCCGTGATGGGCCAGTATTGTTTGGAGATGATGAAAATGGACATGTCATGAGCTACATGTTTAAGCTCCGTGATGCTCAAGCTCGAGGAGAAGCTCGCTTCTATGCGCTCATGATGCTGATGACAGACCGAGTATATCTAGTGAGCTGTTGGCCGTTACTAGTCAGCGCATTTCGATCCATGGCATTGAATTTGCAAGAAAGAGCCAACATGGTGTTTCAACGAGAGAAAGATGGCATGCGCCAGATCACACATAATAGCAGAAGAGCGCCGGCCATGACATCACAAGACCAGTTTTATAGAAGAAGAAGTAATACAGCATTGAGATCCCTAGTGGATCTGCTAGGCATCAAAGTACGAGTGTTCTGTTGAAAAGAGAAAGTGCTGTTTTGCTCATCCCAATGTTGTTTACAGGATATTTATGCACAGATTCAAGCACAGTTTAGTTACACATTGAAATTAGCCTCAAGAAAACGGATGGAAAAGTTGACATTAGGCAGAAGAGAAAGTGCTCTGTACCAAAAGCTGGTGAGTTGGTTGACGGAAATACAAATGCTCTGTTGATGCTGATATCGCTTGATTTATGCAGAAAGCAGAATACGAAGCAAAGAAGAAATCAAACGACAATAGTGAACCAGCGTCACAAAACGCACCATCATCAAATGATCTATGATGGAATTCAATGGGAGCCTCATCCTTATCAGATCCTTTTTAGTTTTTTCCATCATTCCCACTCTCTCTCTCTCTCTCTCTCACACACACACACACACTTATAAATGAAATCCTTGTTGTTTTGCATTCTATGTCACCTTCTTGTTGCTATTGCATGGTGTAAAGAAGATCAAGCTCATACTCTCCAATCTATTGAAGCAGCAGCAAAGTTGACCCGCAAGATAGTGTCCGATGCAGGCACGTTATTGATGTAAACGTAGTAACAAGGGGCTAATCACAGAAAATATAGGCCGTGGACACATCTTGACCTTGATGGACGAATCCGTATCCAAGGAATTTGCTGGATATCCCTTTGGCATTATGGAATACTACAGTGACAAGTGTACTCCCAATGGCAACCTACTCTTGTTCATGTCTGATTTGCAGGTGAGTCTTGAATTGGCAGAGTATAGTAATGCACACCAACATTGCCCCAGATGAGTGCTCGAAATATGCATAAAAATACTGAAAAAGTCGCATTCACCATCACTGCTCTCCATGATTATAACCCTGGTTGGAACAATCATTCAACTCCTGTTCAACAACCACGCTTCACCATGTTTGGCAACATTGAAAGAGTGCCAGAGTCCAAGGTATGTGCAGTTGGTTTGGGCGTTCATACATCATACTCAGGGTAATATACACCTAGACTGAAATTGCCATGGATTGCTTTACAAAGACTCACGCAGAAGCTAAACCATGGAAGTCTTTTCACGACTTTAATTTTTATGAATTTCACGTCAAGGGCATCTATTATGTTGGTGGTTTTGGCGGCTTAAACTACATTGGATGGATTCCGCTAGATCTGTATCAAACTGCAGGATTTGGTAGATTAGTGGAGCAATAATATGCTGCTCTGCACTGTCTTTAAGTTTTCTTGCACTATCTTATCAATGAATAAAATCATTATGCATTTTAAAGAAACTCAATTTGATATGAGATTCGCTCCAGATTTCGTCTTGAACTGCTACTTATCAAGCGAGAAACGCCAATGAACAAATTATCCTAGTGGATTTGACTCTTTTACGACTTTCTATGCTTGTGTCAATGGGAACCGTCCATGCTTAAGCGTACATTATACATGCATTGCCTCATATTACTAGAAAATATGTAAAATTTGGATGGATTTGAGTCGTGATTTCTCGTGACACAGGCAATTCTAGACACTCAGAATAGCTTTAAACGATTGCTCTTGTCCATCACTTACTTTCTAATACCTTTGCTCAACTTTTTTTGGGATCGCCGAAAACCCTTCAAAAATCATGAGGGGTACCTCATGGTTTTCGTCGAAAATTAAACGATCGCGTTTTTGACCCAAAAAATGAACACTTTTACTATGACACATATTACTTCAAAATGTCTGTATCGACCCAAAGCAACCCCTAAAAACTTTTTTTGTAAAACCTTTAAATGTAAAATCTCGACATATTTGCCAAAAACCTCATTTTATATTTTTCAATTTTACTCAATAAGCATGTGTAAAAATCTATAACTACTAGCACCATTGGATGCAGCTTGAAACGTACTGTAAGAAAGCTTAGGGGCTACAGGATGATTATTAAAGCTTGTATAGTCGAATCTTGCAAAATAGATGATTTTTTTTTTTTTAAATTTTGTTTATTGATTGAGCCGCGTACACTAGGAGTACTGGGTCGAAGTGAAGAGGCGGGTGCAATTAAAAAAGAGATAATAAAAAGAAGGTGAAATATTAACTAAACTAAACTAAACTAAACTAAGCAGAACTATCGAAACTATCAAAACTACAAGAGGGAATGGATATGATCCTCATCCACTGTCTGGCGAACAGTGGAGCGGACATTCACCAGAATCGCCTCAGGGACAAGGATGATGTTGTCAAAAACAAAGCGCATATGGGCTAGCCATATTTGAGACAGGGTGATAAGTAGGATTCTGTAAGGATAGATGCCTTTGACTTGGGAGTACCAGATATCCGAAAAGTCCAGGGACAGAAGAGCCTCTTTGATGTCAGTGATGGACGTCGTGGGCCATAGGAATTCAAAAATGACGCCTAGCCATACCTTTTCTTTGGATGGACAGTCAAAGAGCAGGTGGCTGGCAGTTTCATTGGGAGACAAGCAGACAGGACAATTGTGAGACTCGAAGACTCCAGGCATCATGTAGTGTAACCTGCTTCGAGAAGGGATACAGCCTGTGATGAGCCGGTATATCACATTACGTTGAATGTAGGTAAGAGACAGGGACCAAAAGAATTTCCAATGAGAAGCTGAGACATTCTGCAAGGCCAAGGGTTGTTCCATCGACGACAGCACGGACAGACGAAATGTTTTGGCCGAAGCCTGAGCATTTCCAAGGGGTTGGCCATCGTGTAGACAAAATTGATGCACTAGAGGCGCAAAGGAGACCTCAGAATCAACCAGGGGAGCAGGACTACACACTGGATGGAAGTAGGGTTGAAATTTCAGCTGGGCAGACGCAAGGCCTTTGAACACTGTAGAAGGAGCACGTTTCCAATTGAGGAGGGAAGGGTCACGAGTATCTTTCCAATGAACAAAGTTGAGCCGAGCATCATATTGAAACACATCAGAAACCATCATCGCTTTGACTCGACGAGGAACCACCAGTGAAGAGGATGGAGGGACATAGAAGGCAGCCTGTAGTGGGAGAGCCATGGCAGTAGCAGTATTGATCCGAGCAACTTCATACGACTTGGGAAGATAGTCGACTGCACGATATAACATATCGACAGTTCCCGTGCGCTGTGTTTTCAAACCCTGATTGCGACGAGCAAAGGGGAAGAGGAGCGGAATATGGTGATACTGGTATCCATTCATGTTGCGTAGATGGTAACTGAGAAGGTAGGACACCGGGTGGGCATCAATGACAGATTGATCATATACCAGCAACGGATGTAGCCAACGAAAATACAGAGCCGAAGCTTGAGTTTGGATGTCGACAACACCCAGTCCACCTTTGTCTTTTGGGAGAATCCATGTTTTCCAAGGAATGACAGGGAAAATGTTCTTTCTCAAGAAAAGAATTGCCAGTGACCGCAGCTGCTTGACATCGGGCTGGGTGAGAGGAGTAACACGTAGAACGTACCATAACTTGGACAGAAGCAGAGAATTCAGCACAGTGGCCTTTCCAACAACTGACAGGGATCGGACAGAGTGGATCTGGATGGCCGTCTTGATCTTGGTTGTCAGTGCACCCATAAAGTTGACCCGCTGGATCCTGCTTTGTACGAGAGGAAATCCAAGATATATCAAAGGTTCATCATCTTCCACAGAATGCAGATGGGTGATGTGGGCATGCGATAACGGAACTTGCCAAATGTCCCATGTATCCCGACCAGACACCGAAAAGGCTTGCACCTTGTCATAGTTGAATTTGGCGTTGGAAGCAGCACAATAGCGAGACATATGAAGTTGTAAGCGAGACAGGTCCTGTGCGTCATGGACAAATACCAAAGCATCGTCCGCATAACACAATAACTTGGTAGTAGCAGTACCCATCGTGTATCCGTGAAATTGACGATCATGCAAGATTGCCAGTAAAAAGGGTTCGAAGGCCAGGTTGTACAGGATAGGCGAGAGAGGATCTCCTTGCTTGAGTCCACGCAGCTTGGCAACCTCTGTTGACATATGGCCATTCAGATTAATCCGTATGAGATTGTCGCCCATCAGTTTGTATATGCACTTGATGAGGGGACGCAAAATAGATGAATCAAGTCGACTTTGAAGAGAATCTGTCCAATCTGGAGCAAAGCGAAAACGGAGCTTTAAATGGCTTTCGGCTGGTAGCTGGCAAAAGCATTTATGAAAGCAACCTCTGGTTTTAGAGCTTAGCTTATAAAAAGGCGATTACGATTTGAGTTAGCATTGCTTACTTTTCTCTCACGGATCTATATATTTCTTGAATTCAAGAAGTTTGATCCAGCGCTTTGTTCTCGAAATTGCTGCTTCCAGGGCACATGAACGCATGAATGCGTCAATGCCTTGGTCGAGGAGATTTTACGAGGTTACCTCAAGCAGTGAGCTGACGTTTACTTTAGCTAAATGGTGTCTTATTGTATAGGGAGACAGTTACGAGGAAGTTTCTTTTAGAAACCGTAGCTACTATGATATTTTGCTGTAATAAGTTATTACCAAGATCACCAAATCTGATGTATATTTGCCACTAGCCAATTTATCTTGCTACGCTCGATGTCGGCGTCGCCCTGTTGGCTCTCACCAAAGATATTGTAAATCAGATATTATAATATTATGGCATATCAAGTAGATTTAAACAACCAATTATTAGTTAGTAAAAGAAAGGTTATATCAGAGTCAGGAGGAGGAGAGGAGGGATCTCCTTCAGCATCCTTTTTTTTACGCTGATATCAAACGAAGCCTATTATTGGGACAATGTGAAAGGAAATCCAAGTTTTATGCAGCATTTGTACATCACAATCGCCATTTTCTGATAGTAGAATTGCCATACCATTCATTGCTGCTAATGCTCTAAATAAGATGGCGACATAAAGCTGGTCATAAGTAAATACACGATTTGTGTAAGTTCTACAGCGACTTTTTTGAGATATTGTCATTGTAAAAGACACCTTCATGCTGCAAATCTCCCCAGAACAGTATTTTGGCTAATCAATTGTCCTTTCAATTATAAGGTCCTCATTTAATCAATATCACAATCATTATTGTCATTACCAGAAAAGCATTTAGGACAGCTAGCAGTAACGCTGCTGCCAAAATTGATTCAAACTCAGATTAATTTTTATGTTCAAGATTGGACAGATTTGACTTTCTTCGACTTCTTTAATTTATTTTGAGATATTCGACTATATAAATCGTGATGATCACCCTACGCTTCCTAATACATGCCCCTGGTGGTAGGGCAAAGTGGTAGAACTCCCGTATGCCAACGGAAGGATCCCCGGTTCAAATCCTAGTGAACGCAAGTTGTTTGGTTTTTTGACGTAGTACTGATGTCCTCGTTTGGTGTTTTGTACTCTTATCCATTATCTATATTTTGACGATTTCCGCAAGAATGTACTGGCTCTAGGAGTCGCACCTCATTAGTAGTAGATTTCTTTCCCAACTTAATTCAAAAATATCTTATTCCCCTTCATTGCAGACATTGGGTCCACCAACAGTCTTTTCTATCTCTCAGTATGACATTTAAAGGACTTTAAATAAAACCTGGAGCTCGTCTCCCCTACAAAAAAACGCTTCCTAATACATCCTTGAAGTACCTTTCAAGGCGCTTCCAATGGTGCTAATTGTAACAAGTGTTTTGACTGAACTTATTGAGCAACTTAATAAAATTTAAAATGTGGTTTTTAGCGAAGGTAGCCATAATTTGCATATGAAAGCCTCATAAAAGCAGTTTCAGAGGTTGCTTTGGATCGAGAGAAACATTTTGATTCAGTATATACCATAGTAAAAATCTTTATTTTCAAGGTGAAAAATGCGATCGTTTGATTTTCGATGAAAACTATGAGGTACCCCTCATGGTTTTTGGTCAATTTTTGGCCATGTTTTTTGGGTCTTCAAAAAGTTGAGCAAAGGTGTCATGGAATTACTACTACTCAAGTACAATTGTTTGGCGTTATTCCGGTGGCTCAGAAAGATCTACGTATCAAGATATGAAGGCTTGAAAACTGTCCAATTTAGTTGTATTTCTGCTTTATGGCTTTTATTTAGACGGCATAAATCACATCTTTGATAGCTGAAGTCTTCTGGAAAGGCAGCTCTGCAGTCTATGCAACTTCTAATTCGAATAAGAGGCAAATTGATTTTGGTAAGACTAATTCATGCAAATTTTGATACATTATGTTGTTGGTAAGCTTGGTAACAATGGAAATGAGTAACCGAATTTGCTGCTTGAACATTATGGTTCTACACCTTTGCTTGGTTACGGTAAAATCCATCAAGGCTAATATTACCAAATGTTGAATTAGATGCAATCTCGCTACGCTTGTATATATATAATGACAACATTGCCATGGAAAAGATTAGTGTTTTATTGGGTTTTGCTGATAGTTCCTTACTATCAAAATTGCTAAAGCTATAAAAGAGATTAAGATTAAAGAAATATTAGGAGAGAACCAGAAAACAAAATGCTTCTAAGAGTATCTCTTGACAATCCAATGGCACCAATATCAACTATCTCAACATAGCGTCAGTATTACAATGAATCAAAGATGACACATACTTTCTTAGTATCAGCTGCCATCATTTCTTGTTAATAAAACAGCAATTCTTAGTTGACATTTGATACATCAGGAGCTGTGGGGTTTCTTTAAAATATCAAATTGAGAGTATGTCAAATGCTTCAGGAGCAAAAGCGAAACTGATCTGCTGGAGACGGAGATTAAAAGTTGCTCATGATTACATTTTGACATTTAGTCCATCCTTGCAGAGTGATATAGTGCTGTTTACTGCTTTTAACAAACTAGCATAGTGCTTTCAAACCAATGCTTGGCAGGTGGGATACAAGAGGACAACTTTTGTCTGTGGAAAGTTGCAAGCAAAGGACATCAAAAATGAATACATGTAGATCCATGTCGCTTCCATGTTGTTCGTGACTACTTGAAAACTTCCATGATTTTCTACAATTTGGTTGTTGTAGTAATATATAAACCATCCTTCTCGCGTTTTCCAAATTCTTCTTTTTTTTTTTCCTTTCAAACAAGTCATTGATTAGAAAGCATCCATCTCCAAACGAAAAATGTCCAACTGGAAGAACGTCAACAACTGGTGAGTCTCATGCTCTTTTCTAGATGATGTTTACATTCAAAAACTAACCTTCATCCTAGGCATTGGTAACACTCGATCTCGACATGTATGCAACCCTGTAGACACTCATTGCCATTCTCTGTTTTTAGGGTCAATAAGAACTGCTTGAAATGGGCTCAAGCATGGTTCTCGGAGCAATTGGTGGGTCTTGAAGCCGAGAAAGATGGCAACAAGGCTCGTATCTCCAAAATGGTAGATTGCTCTGGTGATGTTGATTTGAACCAAAGAAAGGGGAAGATCATTACCATTTACGATGTCGTTTTGAAGCTCAATTGGGAAGGTATGAACAAACGCATAGACATGTTGGCATGTTCATACTGGCAGGGCTGACATGACATTGCTGTAGGTACTCTTGCTGATGGCACTGACGTTACCGGATCTATCAACATCCCCGAAATTGCTCATGATACTGATTCGGATGACTATGTATTTGAGATTTCCATCAACGATGATAACAATGCCAAATCCGTCATCAAGCCTGTCATTCGTAAGGAACTTACTCCTCTTTTAATCAAGAAGTTTGAGGCATTCTCTGCTGCCATGATCAAGGAAAACTGCGAGGATGTCTATATTGAATCTGGAAAGATGGGACAAGCTACACCTCCTCGTTTAGCTAGCCCTGCTGCTGCTCATGCCACGACTGCCAGCAACACTACTTGCACCAGCACATCTGCTCCTGCACCCAGCGCCACACCCAAGAAAGTCAACACGACCAGCTTGAGCGACAAAGAGGAATTCCAGACATCAGCACATGAATTGTACGAAACCCTGACAGATGCTCAACGTGCTTCTATTTGGACCCGTGGCCATGTAAAGTTAACACAGCAAGTTGGATCTACATACGAATTCTTCAACGGCAATGTCACTGGTGAAATGTTGGAATTGATCCCTGACAAGAAGATTGTGCAAACCTGGCGTTTGAGATCATGGCCTGCTGAGCATTATTCAAAGGTGACAATGGAATTAGAGCAAGGCAGTGATTCTGTTACACTCAAGATTTCACAAACTGGCATCCCTGTGGGCGAGGAAGAGATTGTTCAAAAGAATTGGTCTGGTTATTATTGGAGAGCTATCAAGGGTTCTTTTGGTTATGGTGCTAATTTTTAACAAATAAAGTTTTGGATTTATTGTAATAGCTGATGGTTGTAGACAATGTAGAGTTTATGTCCGTCACGATAAATATGTTTGGCATGCACCAACAGTGGTATCAATGGCTGATACTTTATCCACTGCACTAGATGGAACACCAACAGTCTATCATTGATGGCGTAGAGCGTATCATTGTTCCTGCTGTGCTGCTGCTGCTTGTAAGGGGGGAATGTGATGTGAAATCCATGCTGATGCGAAGACATTACAATTAATTTTAATACAGCTTTCTTCTCTCCTGACAGCAGGTCGCGTGCTGCATACAAATAAGGCGAGAGCAATGTTCTCGAAACTACGATCGTATGTAAAATGTAGGTACGAGTAAGGAATCCCAAAAACCCATTGTATCTTTTCTGGACATGCTGGATCGTCGGTAGCTGGTTCTTTTTAGTGGGTGGAGAAGGGGATGCTCGAGGGGAAGAGGGAGAGATAGGAGGACTGGCATGAGAGGAAGCGATGGGAGGAAACGATCTGCTAACATGATTTGGTAACGTAGGTAGCTCCACCGCCGAATCAAAGCTAGTATAAATGTACAGTGGTGGCAGTGGTTTTTTAGATATAGATGTGTGTTTTGGTAGGATGAACGGTAGTGCCTTATCTGAAAGAAAAGTGAGTACCGCTGCTCGCACATTATGAAGCGGCACATTACCACAATCGTATGCGGCGTGATTGTCATCGTAGTATGCAATTATCGTTTCTGTAGGTGACTGAATGTCTTGATCAGCATCACCATCATCATTGTCCTTCGCTGCTGCTGCTGCTGTTACTAACGCAACAACCATTTTGTAATTAAAATTGACTGGCAAATACGGATGTATTCTTGCACTGCGTGTACCTTACATTGAATGAAATTCATGCGATCTCGTCTTAATTTTTCAATCTTGATATGAAGGCGCTGTGCTATTGAAACCACCTTTTTGTACTGATCTCTATTTTTCATGCTGTTTGCGTCCAATGCATGGATCAGTGATACGAATGGACAGCTCATGTTGGATAGAGAAAGAAGCTGAAAGAAAGAAAAACAAAAGCACAGATTTGCCTCTAAGAATTGCAAGCAAAGTCTCATTTTGCATCAGGAGCATGCAAAAAGGAGATGTTCTTTCGTCGCATTCTGTAGCAAATTGATGATGTAGGTGTGCCCCTCCTTTACCATTCTACTCAAATTGAGGAAACCAGTGTTTACCGTGGCCTCTCTCTCTTTTTTTTAGGGCAGCAAAAGGAGAGGTGGCCTATCCATGTTTATCCTTGGCAATTCATAGAGATCAATTGTAATTTTTGAATTTTATTTACATGATGAAAAAATGGCCGATTTGTTGGATCAAGGCAGAAAGGGATGGAAGGGGTAGCATAAATGTGCGTACGATAAGAAAAGCGTAAAATGACATGTGAGGCATAAGATGAGACATAAGAGAAAAGTGCATAAAAGAGAACCGTGACATAGAGACCATATAAAGATATTAAAGCGAGTGTAATGGGACAACAAACAGGAGATGTGCTCACACACACACACACACACTCTCTCTCTCTCTCTTTCTTTCTAGGTAGAGAAATAAAACGAAGGCAATTCACTGGGCATTTCCTTGAAAGTGTATTCCATGCCATACAATCTTGGTAAGATGGTATTTTGCTTTTGCTGGTAATGCTGGGGCACAAAATAGTCTGCATGGTAATTGGGTGGTGGTGAGGATGGAGAAGGAGAAGGCGATTGGGATGCAATTGAACAAGTCGATGTCGTGGTTGCCGTGGGCGAAGGGGGCTGGCTACTCATAGCGCTACCGATGGACGAAATACTGTTTTGACGCTTTTGCTTCTTCATCAATTCTGGAATCTCGTTGAATGGTCTCCACTGAAGCATGGTATGTTTGGTAGCGGATCCATGTGCTACTTTTTGATGAGTTGTCAAAATGGTCTTTCTGGCAAAGCTCTTGTTGCATCCATCGTGACGGCATTTGTAGGGTCTGTTGCCTGTATGAATACGTCTATGTGCGCGTGTGCAGTTGTGTGAGTACTCAATGCAATGTACAGTTTAAACAGCTGGTCTTACCGATGACGAGCTAATGAAGAACTGTCGCTAAAGTTCTTTTTGCAATCCTCAAACTCGCACACATGAGGTCTCTCGCCTGAATGGGTTCTCATATGGACCTTCAGGGCGGACCGCTGGATAAAGCTCTTTCCGCAGCCCAATTCTTGACAGACATAAGGCCTTTCATTTGTGTGAATGCGAAGATGTCTTGCGAGATCAGATCGACGGCCAAAAGCTTTTAAGCAGTTCAACATGTTGCACTTGTAAGGCTTGCATTGATTTTGTTGTGTTTCAATGTGAATCAATTCAAGAATATCCATAGTGTATCCAGTGTTGTATATGACGAGAAGAGAGAGAGAAGGATGAAAGAAAATGAGAAAGGGAAGAGAGAATGCGTTGTATTTATATTATTTCGAATAGAGTTTTTCTTATAACAAACATATTTTTAATATCATAGGAGCAAATGGGGTTTGACATTTTTTTAAGGAGCAATCAGCAGTGATTGATGATGATGATGAGTGATGGGTCGATAAACAGATGTGTATAGTGTGTGAAGCGTGTACAGGTAGGTTTTTTTTTCTGGGCAGTGTTGGCACAGAGAACTACCTAATTAAGGGGAGAAAGAGAAGCATGCCATGCAAGACACACTATGTTGGATCTACACATATAAAGAGATAATCTTACATTATCATAAAGTACCTCTATTGCAGTACGACATGAATCAACTGTAGATGTGTGGCTGAACATTATCCTTTTCTGTCCATCTGATTTGATAATATTAAGGAGAGCAAGAAGGGGGGGGGAGAGAGGAAGAGAAGAAGACATGGCAAGACGACCAGTGTCTGTCCACGCACTCACAAACAATCAGAAATCCCCCAATTACGCTCCTTTTCCATGTGTTTTCCAAGTCGTTCTGATCTGAAAGCAGCCTGTAAACTGTCGATTGATAGATCGATGATTTTTTATTTTTCTTGGTAGACCCCCACTCCTTTAATATTTAATTTGTATGATAGCCGTTAACTTGTTGATTCCCCTCTCTACGCTTCATGTAAATCAATGTTGGTTGCTCTTGATGTGTATCGTGTAATCACAGTATAAGATCAGGTTTGTACAAGTTGCTCAACAAGGACACTTGGCTATATATATATATATATATATAATACGCCATGGTTCTCCTCGTCTTCTTGATTTTTTTTCATCTTGATTCATACATGGCCTATTGCATACACACACACACACACACACACACACACACACACTCATTCACTCATTCACTCATTCACTCATTCACTCATTCACTCAAATACGCTGTGTAATGTGATGTTACATGGTTTGCTTGTTGATCGTTAAATATTTGCTTGGAAATGACGATATTCACATGTACGATAATTCGGCAAATGATCCGTACCTTTACAGCTACAAAATTGGATCTATGCAAATGCGCACAAACAGTTCAATTCCAATTTAGAAACTCGGTTGGATCAATAACAAGGAGGCCCATTATTATGCCTTTTTTTTTCAGGCCATTCAAAATACAAGTTTCGAGTGTGCAGTGTTGTCAATACACTGGCAATCTCTCACTAGATGCTAAACATCACCGATTGTTGGGTTGGTAGTCTTCCCCCAAATCTGGAGTTTTAATTACTCATCATTGTTGTCTCCCCATCGCTTTTCCTTATAGCAAACAAACCTGTTCATTGTGTTGTATATGGTCTCTGTACATGGTACATGTGCCTCGAGCTCCTCACCAATGGCTTGTTGTAGACTAGCATGAACCATTCTTTCATGCTTCTCTCCCCATCGATCAAACTCCCAATCTCGTCGTTGATTCAATATCCATAACAACTATTTATTGTATCACAAATTCATATACAAACTATGCCAAAAGGGTATTCCTGTAGCCGCGCTAACCGTTCATTTCCCAGGCCAATCGACAAAGTAACGCAAAATTCACGCACACAGGTAGCAACATCTATTCCTGAGTGAAAAAAAGAAACTTGGATTTAATCAAGAGGGTCCCACAAACTGGAATCTCACTCGCATTTTATTGGTATTTACATTTTAATCTAATCTTTCTTGGTTACATAAATGGATTGAAGCTTTTTACCATTAGAAGCAGTCCATTCCAATCTCTTTGCAATACCATCTTCAATGTCGAAAGCCCAAGCATGGACAGTCAGCTTTTGACCGTTGGCCCAGGCATTTTGAACAATGGTAGAATGGCACACATTTTCAGCAGAGTTGATGGCGTTCAATTCAATTAATCTACGGAGACGGGCAGTATCGTCCTTGTGGCTTTCCAACTCAGTTTGATGAAGTCTGTAGACATCCTTGATGTTTCTCAACCAATTATCGATCAAACCAAATTGTTCATGGCCTTTGGCGGCAGTTACACCACCACAGTTGTAATGACCTAATAGATCTGTTAACCTAAAATGTCCCCACACCCTACCCACCGTCCTGACTTACCACAGACAATGATGTGCTCCACCTTGAGTACTTCGACTGCATATTGCAAAACCGAAAGACAGTTGAGATCAGAATGACTTACAACATTGGCAATGTTTCTATGGACAAAGACTTCACCAGGAGGCAAGGCAAGGACCACATTAGCAGGCACTCTGGAATCAGAGCAGCCGATCCACAAGATTTTGGGAGATTGCTTCTGGGCAATGTTGTGGAGGAACTCAGGATCCTCCTTCATGACTTGAGCAGCCCACTTCTTGTTGTTGGCCAAGATGCCATCGAGATTTTCATCATTGGGATCAAAACGGTTCATTGTGTGAGTAGTGAAGGAGGGAGTGGCAAAGAGTTCAGGCTTCTGCTCCTCGGTAGTTTGTTGATTTGGGCACATTTTCTTGCTTGGGTTTTTATATGAAATTGGAGATATGGAAGAGAAAAGGAAGAGAGCCCGTATTTTAATATTAAAAAAAAGTTTAAATAAGTTTGAGGTGGGGCAGAATTGAGGCCCCTGTGCACTAAATTCGGCCCTCATTGGTGACACAGAAGAGATAAAGGGAGTTTCGGCCCAATAAGATGGATATCATAGCGCGGGTTTATTTTGTGTGTGTGATCCATTCAAGTGTTTGCCAAGTGTGGCATTCAACGGGAAACGAAGATCAGGTTTCGATGAGGGGATCTCTTTCAAACGTTCATGTTAGTTGGTCAAAGAAGGATCCACGTGGCCGTTTTGTATCATGGCCCTCTTGGTCACCATCACCATCACCATCATCATCATCATCATCGATTTGAATGATTTTGCGTTTCAGAGTATCTTCGCAGTCTTCTTGCTCAAACAGAAACTGCACATTCCAGAATTTAAGTTGCAAATCATGGCCACAGCTAGCCAGATACGTTTGGCGGTGATCCATCTCTATGGACTCTATGGGAAAGTCCTCGCCATGATCGCCCAAAATGCCTTCAAATTTGTAAGGTTGGACAGAGATCATCCTCAGCAGACCATCGCTACCACCGGTGCACACGACTTGCTCATCCAGTTTGCATAGAGCATCAATTGAGTTGGGGTGGCCCAACCATTTCCTACTGGTATCCCATTGATTCCAATCCCAGGTATACAACGCCCCACTCTGCGAGCCTGCAATGACCTTGCTTCCATCCTCGATGACCGCCATGGATAATAATTCATCATCGACAAGATGAGATAGCTTAATTTTATCCGTTGGTTTTCGTGTGTCGCAAATAGACAGTAACCCATCACCACTATACGGTTTGGTAAATCAATGAGTACACAAAGTCCCCTCATCATCCTTGCTCCAATTTACCCCGTTGATAACAATGATGATCTGCCTGAACAATACTCCATATCTGCAATAAAATCATCGTGCACCTTGTACTCTTGTGTCGCTTTGCAGGTTCTCATGTCCCAGATCTTTATGATCCCCTCATCATCGCCTGTTGCCGTTAAATGGGTATCTAATTTACAGATTTTATTGATTGCGTACTTGTGTGCTTTGGGTATCTTGTACAATCGTCTTCCGGTTGTTACATCGAGTGCTTGAATTGATTTATCTCGGGATATCGACAGTAGATGCGCTCCATCGGGTGTAAATTCAACGCCTCGACACGACTTTTTAGACACTTGTGTCGTCCAATTCAGTGTGTTTTCGGTGTCTGTTGCATAGTTCCAGCTGCGTACGTTATCATGAGTGGGGAGGATTATCTCGAGTCGGATGTCTGTTTAAAATACCATTGCACCTGTCCATTGATTAAGCCTGCTACAATGATGTTTTCCACGGGATGAAATGAAAAGTCGAATATGTGATCTTTGAATTCAATAGGCTTTGGTTCCATTAGTTTATTTAAAATGTAAAAAAAAAAAGAAAAAAGAAAAAGGTATTAAATTTATACTATGCAGTGGCTTTTCAGAGCAAAACTATTTCCATTTGAAAAATGTGCCATACTTGTTCTTTTCGGTGTCCGCTGGCTTCGCTGCTGCTTGATCTGTCGTAGTCGATCCAGCTGACGGCGGATGAGGTAAAGGGGAAACCTGATTTTCATGATGATGATTCAATGTAGCAGCTTGTTTGGGCTTAGACGGTCCGCCATCTAGCGCCCCAGCTGTCGTCGTAACTGTGTGGTCTGCATTTATGGCAGCATGTTGCCCTTTTTCGAGTCTGATCTCATCCATTCTTCGCATAATCAGAAATTCTTCCAATAGCATTGCATTGCGCCAGTTACACTTGAAGAAAATATCCAAAATGTCACCTGCAATGGGCGTAAGGCCAATCTACAGCACAAATATTAGATGATAAACTAGTGTAGAGACATGTCTTCAGGGTACCATGAAATCAAGCATCACATTCCACATCATTTGAGCAATGATGGCCTTGGGTAGATTAGCCTTGGAGGCAGTTCTGACCAGCTGCATAGCCATCACAGCTGTAATCGCATCGCCAATACCGGGAATCAAGCCAACAAGCCCATCCACGCCAATATTGAAGCAGCAACAGTGAAAGCCTTTATCCAAATACCATGCCCTATTCTTTACTTTGAGCAGGATCTTTCTCTCTTCCTTGCTCAGCAACAGATCTGGAGTTGCTTGCACCTTTTTGTTATACCAATGATGCTTCTTCTTGGCTGCTATTTCTTGGGTTGCTGCCAAGATCTCGGGATCTGTCTCAAAAGCTGGTTTGTTCTGATGGACTCTGTCAGAGACATTTCCAAGCACCTTCTTTTTAGCATAGTTTGTTGCCACTTGCATTTTGTTTATTATTAGAAAAGAAGAAGGAAAATATATAAAATGAAACCTTTTGCAGATCCTCTTTGTATACACAAATGAGTGGGATAATCATGACGTATAGACTATATGCTTTTATTGGTAGTATTCTGGCTTTTTAACATTGAGCCCATATTCGGTTAAGGCGGATGATAAATCGTCCATGGTTAATACAATCTTCTTCTCCTGTAAAGGGGGTCGCAAGATACGTCAATAATGAACACCAAAGAGATCCCATGTTTCATGCTTATTTACCTTGTTGGATTTACTGGTGGCACGGGATGATTGTTTGACTTGATTGAATTGGAATGCATCTGTGGCTATGTCTGCAACAAATTTTTGTGCTGCCAGAGCAAAGAGCTTCTTACTACATGAGAATGAGCGAGTGAGTAATGGCGTTCTACACATGTTCCTTGGCATGATGACATTACATGCGAGCATCATCACAATCAAATCCAGTCTTATTCAGATAATAGTCAATCACAGCGTCGGGTATCTACACAGAGAGATCAGTTATTATGATGCACATGTAGACTCAACGTTGGATCACATTTACAATAGGTGTGTAGTTGTCCATTGTAATCAACAGTTCTGCCATGTCTTTCTCCTTGTCGACCTTTTCGGCTGGTGTTGGCACTGATTGCTCGCCCTCTTTCATTGCCACATCTACACTGTCTGATAATTGCTGCTGTTGCTGGGGCTGCTGAGGCTGTTGTTGTGCTTGATTGTTGCTTATTTGTTCATTGTTGGCTATAGCAGGATTCATGGTAAGTTTACAGGTAAAGAAGATACGATCACCCAATATAAATCGCCTTCTTTGTTGCTGCAACGGATGCAAAACTGTCACAATGAACATCTCTTTTTGAAAAAAATTTGGTGTGGTAGTGAAGCAATCCCCCCCCCTCCCCCTCCTCCTCGTATAGACGACGCTGACAAGCTTTACCATTGCTAGTTTAATATAAAAATGTCTTCTACAAATAACAGTTACGATGTTGTATCTGCATACAAGACCTCTTTGAATGATACGGTGAGGATCTCTAGTGTCGACATTGCAATCCATCTTGACTAAATCTTGCTTAGGAATTATCCACACCTGTTGCTATCTTCAAAGCCCTGACAGACTTTGTTCGACACAGTACAGGTAACGAGCAAAGGAACCACCAGCTCGCATCGCAAAAGCATCAATTAACGCCGAACGTATAGCTCCCACCATGTCTGAATTTATGCAAACATTGGAAAAGGCAGCACAAGCAATTCGTCAGGAGCCTCAAGTCATTGCTGCTGCCGACAAACCTGCAAATCAACACAAGGCTGCCATTGCCATCTTGGCAGGTGTAGATTTATTCATGCGCTTTGTCACAAGAAACTCTCACGATTTCTCGGTAAATACAGTAGCGATGTAGATGAATAATACGAAATATTCATTTTGCGATGTGTAGCTCTCCGAAGAAGCAGGTAGCTTTGAGGATTTCAAGGAAAATTTACTGTCTAGAGCCTCATTGATTTTGGAAAAGGCTTCTTCTGCTCGTGAGAAGGCTGCAGAGATTGGTGCGCAATTCGTGCACGACAATGCTGTTGTGTTGGTGCAAGGCTATTCTCGTGTCATCATGAGTGTCCTGTATTATGCCGCCAATGTTCAAAATAAGAGATTCAAGGTATACGTTACGGAAGGCAGGCCTAACAGCGATGGGTAAGTAGTTAGGATTTGATTTGATCTGTGAGAGAGAGAGAGAGAGCGGTACTGATGCAATGATAGTATTCAAGCTGTATCCGCCCTGAGAAAGAACGGTATTCCCTGTAGAGCAGTTTTGGATTCTGCTGTTGGTTATATTATGGATAAGGTAGATATGGTGTTTGTTGGCGCAGAAGGTGTCGTTGAAAATGGCGGTATTGTGAACAAGATTGGTACATTCCAAATTGCTTTGGTGGCCAAGGCCTTGAGTAAACCAGTATATGCAGTCGCTGAGAGGTAAGGGAGCTTTTGTCATGGGAGCATTGCAGTTGCTGATGAATGCCCTTTTCATAGTTACAAATTTGTGCGTGTCTACCCTTTAAATCAATACGATATCCCGTCAGAAACACCGGAAATCGTTACATTTACCTCCAGAAGAAAGTCTTTCAGTACAACCGGTGATGCTGAAACTATGGATGAATTGGCTTTATCAAACCCCTCAGTAGATTACACACCTCCTCAATATATCACTTTACTTTTGACAGATCTGGGCGTCTTGACTCCCTCTGGCGTGTCTGATGAACTAATCAAACTTTACGTTTAAAGAACATAATAAAGTATTCAGTCATAGCAGCATTTAACACTATAGCTACTATGGCATCTGGGCATACTTGATATATTTGAGGGTTTTGCTGCTAAATTGGTTCAATAATTGGGAAAAGGGGACACGCGAAGTTTACACCAGCTATCAAGATACACACACCAATGCAAAGAGCAATGAATATAGCTGTTCCCCCTTTGCTAAAGAAACTACTGTAATTGTCTAACAGATTCATCCGACGCATACAGCCACTTCTTCTGCAAAGATATTGTGAAATCAAACAAGTTGATAACCCTATTATGGATTTTCAGTTGAAGAAAGGGTATACTACTTAAAGCATTAAACGCTGCACTGTAGTATTCAGCAGCTGTTAAAGCGATTGTTTGGTGGCGGGATGGCCAAAATAATACTGTTGTTGCAACAACAATAATGTAAACAACATTATGCTGTAGGAGTATTTTAATACATAACTTTCTCCACGTAATGCATTTAAAAGACATCTCTTGCATGGAATTGCGTAATAAATGCTAGATCAAATGATTGCACCTTGTCTTACTTTTGAATATAATAACAAGACAGAGTTAAACTGTATTCATTTTGTTACGCTTTTATTAAAAACACAAACGTATTATAAATGACAGCTCAATAGGAAATCAACTAGTTGTAGACCTTCGTTGCTTCAACTTCTTAGCCAATCAGATTGCTTGAAAACTCCGCTGACTTAAAAAAAATTTGCGAGGGTTTCCCTCTGTTTTGATGTGAGGCAAAATTTTAAGCGCCGCTATAATAGCAATATAGCCGCTGCTATCATCAAACTTCCCCCAGGTGCTAGAGCATGTCTTACTTACACCATCTAGCTTTGAATTCAGGCATTGAGACCCTTAATCATCACTAAAGTAAGTAGCGATAACCAAGTGGAGGCGGCCTATCTACCTCCTAGCCTCGGATAAATTCTTGTTGAGCTTCAGGGATAGGCACATCCACACAACGTAAAAAAAAGGTATGCTTCAAAGAAACATAATAATAATAAAATAAAGAAGAAAAGAACATACTACTAGAGGAGTATAGTAGTACGTAGGCAAAAAAAAAGAGACACTCACATGAAGCGAGTCAAAGAAACGCATAACAAACACAACATCAAAGATGTTCAAAAAAGCTCGTTGTTGTTGCAATAAAAATGCATACATGAGCAACGTGCATGGTAGTAATAGTCGGATGTAAAGCAACATGACACAAATAATGTGCACAACTGCAAAAGCAACAGTGGTATTATAAGTATGCAATACAGCATAATGACTAATGTTGTTTCATGTGAAGGCACAGAGGAAACACCACCAACAAAAGAAAAAGAAGAAAGCGCAACAAGGCAAACATCATGAATGCATTATCACGAGAAAGGAAGTAATGATATAAACGTTCAAAGAAGTTTATATCATTGCGACCAGAAGAAAAAAGATACTTACCACTTACCACAGCCACAGATAGCCCAGAAGTGTAAAGGCAATCACCGGAGACAGACCAGAAAACGAGCATGCACCAAATACAGTAGACCGGGAAATACCATATTAGCAGCAGCAACAGCAGCAACACCGGCACCATAGAAAAACTAAAGAACGAACGCCATCAGCAGAGACCAGACAAAGACCAAAGAAGTTACTTACCACTTATCACCACCATAGATAGACCAGATAATACGCAATCACCGGATATAAACCATAGAACGAGCATACATCAAAGACAGTAGACCAGGAATGACCAGATTAGCAGCAGCAACAACATCAGCAGCAACAACATCAGCAGCAACAACACCAACACTATAGAAAACCGAAGAACGAGCGACACCAGAGACCAGGCAAAGACTAAAGAAGCAACCACCAGAGATAGAGACTAAAGAAACAGCCACTAGACATGATAAACAAAAGAAGAAGGCAGCAGAGACAGCAGAAAAGTAATGGCATCAGCACCCACGTCAAAAAGACAAAAGAGCTATCAAAACCTAATAAACAAATTCAATTAGTGACAATTCTACGCCTTCCTGTGCTCGTTATCGAATGGTATCTCTTATATTTCACTTCAAAGAAGCAGTATCAAGTACTTTTAACAGTGCAAGGCCGTGTTATCAGAAGCTAGAGTGTTGTTTTCAATCAAAAGTATTCCAAAATCAATACGGTTTGATACTAGACGCGTTTTGCAAAAAGGGAAAAAACGAGGGCGTGGAAAAAAGAGAGGGCATCCTATCCGACGTCATGACCAGTAGATTTAGTCTCTGTCTTGTACCGTAGCAGCCGTAATTGCGGCAATTTAATTTGAAACTGTGCAGTGGTATTTTCGTGTTCAAACTTGACTTGATCTCACATTCTTTAAACGTTTTTGCTCAATTTGACTATGAAAACTGTCGTTGCCATACCTTACTGTCTAATGCACCTATAAAGAGTTAATAAAGGCGCATCGAATGATGCTGGTTACATTTAGCTTTCAGACCGAAAATAAAGAGCAATTTTGAAATATTTGAAAATGGGTTCTCTGCAGAAATGTCAAAATTTAGCATATGAAAGTCTCAAAAAGGTAGTTTCCAATGTTGCATATAATCTTTACGGTTAATTTGGTCTGATATGTATCATAGTAAAAGTCTACATTTTTTGGGGTGAAAAACGCGATCGAGTTATTTTCAAGAATCTTCCCTTGATAATACTCATGGAAAAACGATGATTTTCAAGAATTTGCAACGGCCTAAAAAAATTGAGATAAAGCATTAGGAAGTAAAGCGTGGCCAAGAGAAGGCGTGTGGTGCTATTCCAAGCGCTCAAAACGCTTTGTGGCATGAGTTATTCGTGCTTGAAAATGACTACATTTGAACAGAACTCGACCTAAAATGACGACGTAGTGGGTTGCGTTGCCAGAAGAGTAAGTAAATTACACTTCTGTCTAATGAACCAGATGTTCTGCATTGTACATAACTCAATTTTCACGTAATAGACGCTTTTATTCCAGTTTCAAGGCTGAGGTCTTGCTGCTTGAGATGTGCGATTATGTTGCATACAAGCATGCATCGTAAGGTACATTCACTTTCTCCTCAAGCCATTTTTTACAGTGTAGCAGCATAGATAATGTTTATCGTATCACATCACATCTCTGTTTACAAGTCCAGTCAATTGTGCGTGCACAGGTGCCTCAGGAACTACAATAAATTCAATCTCCCTAACGTCAAGATATCGAGATCCAACTACACTACATGAAACATGTAATGAAATAGCCACCCAAACGCAACTTAATTGAAAACCAAAGTTCATCAAATAGCACTCATTCAAATTCATGCTATTTGGATCTATTAATGAAAGCGCTCAAATGTACATCAAAAACCCATTTAAAAATACTAAAGTAAAGATACACGCTTATACCGCACATCGTGTGAATGAATCACTCCTGATCACAGTGTATTCAATCACACCCATGATGGTCGTAATAGGTGATGGTATCTTTATCCAAATAGAATTAAATCAATAACAAGCATATTCAAATATGACAACTATGCCCTGCTGCCATAGTTGCACAATATCCCAGATAAAGGATTCCATGCTTCAATAACAAACATCACACTTTAAACCATCAAGGTTACATTAAATCATGCTATGACGATAGCTCACCCAAGCCCATCAAGGTTACTCAAATCGACCCTTATGGCCAGTGCTCCTGCATTGATTACCACTTTAAATCAAACATCAACAACATTTGCCAGATATCGCAATAGCAGCACCTATTGCTCTCTATCATCACTAATCCTACAAGCCAGATGCAAATGTATAAATACTCTTCTTTTTTTTACTCAATTCCAGGATCTTCAGTTCATTTTATACACAAAATAAAATACAGTTGATTTCTATTGTATTTTACCTTTGCTTTATTTTTTTTTGTGAAATCTATTTAAACCTGATTTCACTGCAAAACATATCGACTTAGGTGGCCTCTCAACAAGCTATACCAACAATTCATAAGGCCCCAGTGGCCTGCTATTTATATACCATCTCAACGTGGTCATCATTGACCAGGGATCTACCATATTTAAGCAAGCTAGATGCCCTGTAATAAAGAAGCTTTTTGCTTTCGTTTTAGATACAGTTGACAACTGATTATTATCATCCACTTATTATTACGAACTCATCACTTATCTTGATTTTGCACACATTGAAAAGCTGATACTTTACTGTTACATTTCGTTTGTGTGATTTCAGTTATTTAGCAACTGGTTAAATATATCACCGAGCAAGCCATTAGCTTCAAATTTGCTTAACATTATTGATGCTCCAGTGTCAAGTTTACTGTAATCTCGCATTTCAAAAAGCAAGAACTAAGCCTTGAAACTGGAATAAAAGCGTCTATTACGTGAAAATTGAGTTATGTACAATGCAGAACATCTGGTTCATTAGACAGAAGTGTAATTTACTTACTCTTCTGGCAACGCAACCCACTACGTCGTCATTTTAGGTCGAGTTCTGTTCAAATGTAGTCATTTTCAAGCACGAATAACTCATGCCACAAAGCGTTTTGAGCGCTTGGAATAGCACCACACGCCTTCTCTTGGCCACGCTTTACTTCCTAATGCTTTATCTCAATTTTTTTAGGCCGTTGCAAATTCTTGAAAATCATCGTTTTTCCATGAGTATTATCAAGGGAAGATTCTTGAAAATAACTCGATCGCGTTTTTCACCCCAAAAAATGTAGACTTTTACTATGATACATATCAGACCAAATTAACCGTAAAGATTATATGCAACATTGGAAACTACCTTTTTGAGACTTTCATATGCTAAATTTTGACATTTCTGCAGAGAACCCATTTTCAAATATTTCAAAATTGCTCTTTATTTTCGGTCTGAAAGCTAAATGTAACCAGCATCATTCGATGCGCCTTTATTAACTCTTTATAGGTGCATTAGACAGTAAGGTATGGCAACGACAGTTTTCATAGTCAAATTGAGCAAAAACGTTTAAAGAATGTGAGATCA